ATTAACAGTGACCATAGTAAGTAACAGACTCCAGTCTTATAATTTTTTACGTTAAAAGCCCCATATTCTTGGGGCACCTGGTGGCTCAGTAGGTTAAAGCCTCTACCCTCAACTCAGGTCATGATCCCAGGGTCCTGGGATCGAGACCCGCATCAGGCTCTCTGCTCCGCAGGGAGCCTGCTTCCTCCTCTCTCTATCTGCCTGCCTCTCTGCCTACTTGTGATCTCTGTCTGTCAAATAAATAAATAAAATCTTAAAAAAAAAAAAAGTCCCATATTCTTGGATAGCAGTGTTTTAAAAACTGTGTTCCATTGATTTCTGTGATTCTGCAAACATGCCCCAGGTAAGGGGGTGGAATAGGGATCCTCATCCCTCCTAGGTCACATTCCATTCCAGCCCCATTCCACTACTGTAGCTCAGTTTTAAATATTGTAATTATAAATAAGATTACTCTGAACAAGATAGTTCTGTTGCTCAAAAAACCCGTTGGATTAGTAGGCCATGTTACCTCTTTAGACCAGGTAGTTTAAGAAAGTGATACCAGAGAACAGAAATCCCAAAGTGAAAATGAGGAGAAACTGCCCTCTACTAGCAGAATTTGACCTCTGAACTTTAGTAACCTTACTGAAGTAGCCCTCAGTAGTTTGAATCAAAGGACAGATGGGAAGTTATGATTAGACTTTGGAGTTTATTTTTCTGTCAGTTATAGCATCTGTTTTACAGGGGCAGTTTAGGATGGATTTGATATTCTTTGAAATTCTTAACTTCTAGAAGTCACTGAAATTAAACCTTTATCACAGATGATAAACCTTTATAGAACCATTTATGAAATATGCCATGTTTTGTGGTTTTCTTAAAATGTCATTTCTGTGTACTATTCTTCAAAGTAATATAAATGGACACAAGCCAAATCATTTAACTTGCAGAGTCTCCTTGCTATCCGGCAACCAGGAATGCTATAGTAGAAATTACTGACTTAAAAGGGAGACCAAAATTCTGATTGTAATATTGTCAGTAATTACATGACTGTAGGCAAGTTTAGGCCTATAAAATGAGAAAGTTGGTCTTAGATGAATTCTAAGATTCATTTTTTAACTTTTACCTACCTCTCTCTGCATAGTCCAGTCCATTTCTTAAATATTGAGATATTATTCCATAGTCATATAATAGTAGAGCTGCAATAATAGCTAACATTTATTTAATGAGGTTTTTTTTTAAGATTTTTATTTGAGAGAGAGAGTATGATAAGGGATGGGCAAGCAGAGAAAGAGGGACAGGCGGACTCCCATGACCCTGAGATCATGACCTGAGCCAAAATCAAGAGTCGGACACTTAACTGACTGAGCCATCCAGGCGCCTCTTAATGAGCTTGTTCATGTGTATCTCGTACTGTACTAGGGACAACACTTGGACTTCCCAGTTTATTCTTACAGTGCTCCTAGTACTTTACACATGAAGAAACTGAGGTTCAGAGAGATTAAAAAAACATGGGGAGAGTCTTAATATTTATTTAGAGTAGGTTCAACATGGAGCTTGAATTCCTCACCCCAAGATCAAGAGCCACATGCTCTACCAACTGAGCAGCCATGTGCCGTGTGTACAGGGTCTTATAGCTAGTAAGTTGCGGAGTTTTTTGACTTAACCATAAAACTTTTCTACATTGAAAGTTTGCCTACTAGGTTTAAAAACCTTGAAGAGGTATATAAACCAAAGATACAACAGTCATATATATGATCATTAATGACCAAAGGGTCATATAAGTTTTATATGCACTATAAAACCTGCTCAATGGTTATTTTCCTAGTGTATAAACTAGGGTTTTAATATACATGTTGCATGTAACAGATTCTGAATTTGAGCTACAAACTGAAAATTTTTGTAGGTGCAAAACTTTTAAAAGGAAGTATGCATTTTAAAAAATGTTTATAAAGCAAAAATTGCCTGTGCTCACAGTGCTACAGATACACAGGGCTGAAAGCTTTCAAACCATAATAGAGAAATACAGTCAGTTTGGTACTTAACTTTCCTGGAAAAGCTAGAAGAATTCACAGTCTTTTTTTCATGACTGCACAGGTTAACTGAAGTTTCACTGTAGTCTGTATAATATTCCTATTTCTCGTATAGGTACGCAACACTTATGTAATTAAGCTGAGGCTAGAGACTGTCAGTATTGGGTGGTAGGGAGGAGGATTGGGAAGGCTTCATTTCGTTATCAACAACCTGCTGGACAAGGTATAATTAGGACCAGTGGACTTCAGAGAAAGGTATGAGGGATAGCAAGAGCAAAGGCAGTAAGATGGAAAGGCATGGAACTTAGAGGAAACAGCTTAGTTTCCTGCAACAATAGATAATAACTCTTTGAATGTGATATTAGTAGTTGTAATACCTATACTCATTTAACTTCCTGCCTGCCACTTCAAGGTTGACTATTCTTCATTTAAGCCTTATAGCAACCCTAATAGGTAGAATCCAGTCCAGCTGGGTTAAACAGCTTAAATGAGGTTTCTCTGTTAAGTGGAGGTAAGTGACTTGAGCTAAGGTTATCTGGATCAAAGAGCCATACTTTTAATAATATGGTATCATCTTTCTATGTGATATGCATTAAATGAATATTTAGATATAGCATATACTTCTGATAAGCATTCACATGATGAGGTAGAAGTATGAAAGTACTTAAGTAACATTAATGATTTGATGTTGGAAATTCAGAACACATGAGACTTTTTTTTTTTTTTTTAAGATTTTATTTATTTATTTGACAGACAGAGATCACAGATAGGCAGAGAGGCAGGCAGAGAGAGGAAGGGAAGCAGGCTCCCTGCTGAGCAGAGAGCCTGATGCGTGCTTGATCCCAGGACCCTGGGATCATGACCTGAGCCAAAGGCAGAGGCTTTAACCCACTGAGCCACCTAGGCGCCCCACATATGAGACTTTTAACTACTGGCATTTTATTTGCACCAGAGGATATACTCTTGATTATTTGATAAAGGATTTACTGGGTTTTGAGATCTTTAATTAAACATTTGTTCTAAATCTCAGAAAAGGAATATTTAAAGTCCTTTTTGGAGGGTATTTATTTAAATTCAGTTAATTAACATATAGTGTGTTATTAGTTTTAGAGGTAGAGTTCAGTGATTCATCAGTCTTTTTTTTGATTCATCAGTCTTATATAATACCCAGTGCTCATTACATCTCATGCCCTCCTTAATGTCCATCTAGTTACCCCACTCTCTTACCCCCCTATCCACCAGCAACCCTCAGTTGGTTTCTGATGATTGAGTCTCTTTCTGAAGATTAAGAGGATTTGTCTCCCTCTCTGATTTTGTCTTGTTTTTTTCCCTCCCTCCCCCTATGATCCTCTGTTTTGTTTTTTTATTTCAGAATTTATTATGTTCAATTAACCAACATATAGCACATCATTAGTTTTTGATGTAGTGTTCAGCAATTCAGTAGTTGCATATAACACCCAGTGCTCAACACTCTGTTTTAATTCCACATATGAGTGAGATCATATGATAATTGTCTTTCTCTGATTTTCTTATTTCACTTCGCATAGTATCCTCTAGTTCCATCCACATTGTTGCAAATGGCAAGATTTCTTTTTTTTTTTTTTTTTTTAGATTTTATTTATTTATTTGACAGACAGAGATCACAAGCAGGCAGAGAGGCAGGCAGAGAGAGAGAGAGGAGGAAGCAGGCTCCCCGCTGAGCAGAGAGCCCGATGCGGGGCTCAATTCCAGGACCCCGAGATCATGACATGAGCCGAAGGCAGCGGCTTAACCCACTGAGCCACCCAGGCGCCCCAAGATTTCATTTTTTTGATAGCTGAGTAGTATTCCATTGTATATATATAGAGAGAGAAATATTTGAAGTCTAATGCTGTTCTGCCTTTGATAAACTCTGCTGTCAAAAGGAAGTATTAATGAATAAGGCTAGTTTAAAGGGACAGAGTGGTATGTTAGGAGACTGTGGAAAAGTCTCATTTTCCTTGAATTAAATATTGAGTATCTGAGCCTAACTTATATATATCTGAGACTTCCCCTAAAATTTCTCTTTGGAAAGGATATTTATATTTGAGCCCTTATAAAGTTTCTCATTATGGGTGCTCTCAATTATTTTCCATACAAAAGCCATTAATTTGAAGCAGCTTCAGTTGATGTTCTGGGTAATTATGGAGGTTATTTACATCACCTAAAAACTTACATTTTCCATTTGGGAGGAAGGGTGGCCTCATTTGGCTCACTTGTCATATCCATATATGTATCCAAAAGCTTAAAAGGAATTTTACAAAAAGGTTATTGTGATAATATCCAGCCTTTCCAAATAAATTTAAGGTTGTCTATATGGGGGAAAATGTTTACAAATAGGAGTCTGTAATGACCACTTTTAACATAAATAATGATATACAGGGACTACAGAGCTCCATTGAATACAGAATACAGCCTACAAAGAATATTGAATACTGTCCATTTTATTTATGTATTATTCCTGATAGACCAATAGATAAATTACTGTATTTGTGTATCAGGAACAGTATATTGGGGATATGTGGCTTTCATGTGGAAATACTTCACACAGCATTCCATGTGAGTTTTTCAGTGAACATTGTGTTTTTATCCCTTTTTTAAAGATTTTAGTTACTTGAGAGAGAGCAAGCATGAGTGGGGGGCAGAGGGAAAGGAAGAAGCAATCTCCCCACTAAGCAGAGAACCTGATGTGGGGCTTGATCTCAGGATCCTAGGATCATGACCTGAGCTGTAGACGGATCCTTAACCGACCGAGCCACCCAGGCACCCCTGTTTTTATCCTTTGTATCTTGGTTAGGTATGCTGAAGTTAAGGCAGAGTAAAACAATCTCATAGTACTGCACACTAGCCCAACCAACCTCTCTGAGGTCCCCTCTCACCCACTAAGCCAAAGAAAGAAGAAACAAGGAAAACATTACCCCTAGAAAATAGATGTTTAAAAAATAATTATTTTCTCTGTTTTTTAAAATTTAGGAACAAGTTCCAGTTCCGGTCTATCATCCAACACCTAGCCAGACTCGCCTAGCAACTCAGCTGACTGAAGAGGAACAAATTAGGATAGCTCAAAGAATAGGCCTTATACAACATCTGCCTAAAGGAGTTTATGACCCTGGAAGGGATGGATCAGAAAAAAAGATCCGAGAGTAAGTTTTAATAAATTTATACATGTTTCAAAGGTCTATCTCCAGAGATTTGCTTTTGAAAATATTCTCCTGCATATTAGAAGTTGGATATTTAATATAATCAGTTTATGCAAAAGAATTTTGGGATACAACAATTAAGAATTTTCAATAAAAAATAGCTAAGAAATGGTGTGAATTTCTGACCATTTTGTATATTGTTTGTGTCCATGTGGATGACAGTTGATGTCAGTTAAAAATGATTCACCTGCGTGAGTGTGCTGGTGGCCTTGGGAAAGCAATTTGGCAATATGTCAAGGACCTTCTCAGGTCTGTACCCTTTGAGACAGAGATCTATCCTAAAATGTGTATCTCACTCCAACTCATGGAGCTTTATACACAAGATACTCACCATGGTTTTATTTAGAGTAGAACTATAGTTAAGTAGATTTTGGCATAGGAGTACTCTGGTAGATTATGCAGCTATTAAAAAAAGGAGTTTTAGTGATGAGGAAAATCTTATATCTATTTTTAATTTGAGGAATAATTTAATTAAGACAGGTGAGTTGAATATGATATTATACTTTTGGGAAGTTTTTGTCCTAAGAGCTCATTGTCTGAGAATTCCTAATGAGGACATTCTCCTTTTAGGTTGAGAATGGTCTTACCAACAAAGACATAATCTAATTTACTATGTTGATGCTTGGCTGTTTGAGCCATAGCACCATTTAGTGGTAGTACGTAAGATAACTTGTCCTGAATACTGACTTCTGAAATACTATGTCATTGGGTTACTTCTTAAACCTGTAGAATTCCGTGAACTTGAAACTAGGGTTAATAAAGAGATCTTTAGGTATAGCAGCCCAGTAAGTAGACTGAAATTAGTGGTGGTTTTTACATACAGATATTAAAATGAAAACTATCTTAGTCCTGGGCTTACACCAAAAACTGAATTCACATGAATTTAATCTGATGGCTTCCCACCTGAAGCATCACATTCTTCTTCAGGTGTCTTCTATAATATGTCGCTGTTTTGTAAGCACAGTTCTAGGAATGGACTTGATCCCCAGGTGGTCAGTCCATTTCTCTTTGCTCTGTTGATAGCTGTCAAACTTGTGCAGATTTCCAGGGAATCAAAATAAGAGATTGTTGGATTAATGCTCCTTAGGAAAAAATCAGTTTGCATGCTTTGGTAGGATGACAGGCAAGCCATTTTCATCTGTTCAGATGAACACAGTCTTTGTAATGGGATTTTAAAGAGTATTCTAGATAGATCACTTCTCTAAAAATGTTTTCTGATTTCTCTCCCTCACCCCCAACAGGTGTGTTATCTGTATGATGGACTTTGTTTATGGGGACCCGATTCGATTTCTGCCGTGCATGCACATCTATCACCTGGACTGTATAGATGACTGGTTGATGAGATCCTTCACGTGCCCCTCTTGCATGGAGCCGGTTGATGCAGCACTGCTTTCGTCCTACGAGACTAATTGAGCCAGGGTCTCTGGTCTGACTTCAAGTGAACCATCATATTTGGTGGTTTTGATCTTTTGTCACTGAGCCCAAAGAGCCAGGGATTAGGAATTAAGATCATGCACAAAAGTTTCCTAAAAATTCCCGAATGGCTGCAGATGTTGGGGGAAAAAAATACGTGATATTTTAGAAATTTAGGGGGAAAAGTAGGATGGTATTTTTATGTAAAGCCTTGACCCAGTGTTTAAAAATATAATTGTATTTAGATCTTGTTATGCTCCAGTACATAGGAATTGTGTAAAGTGTTACAGCAGCTGTATATGTTTCAATTGTGTGTGTTGAAGATTAGGAAAAAGATAGTGGTTGTTTTTCCTAAATGAAATAACTCTCTTTTTCCCCCCACCCAAATTATTTTCTGAAGTTGCTGGCATTTGGGTCAAGGTTTTATTAAAAGCTACATTTTATAACACTGGCACAAAAAAAGTAGTTTTAAGCTTGTTTGCACAGTTCTTTTTTTCCATTGGAAATGGAATTCATTGCCTTAGGTCTTTTTAAATAGTGTATTATCGTTGGGGCTGGCTGTATGCTTGAAAACCAGTTTATTTATAACCTGTTGTAAGTGCTATATCTGTTTGCAGTTAGGAAATGCAGAATTCAAAGTGATCTCCTAGCTTGTAAGCAAACTGAGATGCACTATCCCTTTTCTATAAAAACTGAGTTAACGTCAAGAAACCAACTCTAGTAAAGTGGGGTTTAGTATTACCCTTTCCTATGTGTTTTATCTAATTATTTTGATTGTTAATATGGTAATTAAAAGTCAAGGTAAATTTTAAATATTAAGATTTCTGATTTATTGAGCTCGAAGTATGCCACCATGCTTATGTAAAATGAAAGTGGCACCATGGTGAAACTGAGAAAAGTTGCTCAGTTGTAATAGTTTTGATTTATTCTTGTGACCTCCTTCCCTTACTGTCTTGAACCATAGCAAAAGGATACTGCATCTCTTATTGTAGTGCTGAGGTTATTGAAGTTACATAAAACACATCTCAGTCTCTGTTTCTTAGAAAGGAAAGTCCTGCTGGCTGACTGACAAGTAAGCAGGGAGAATTAAGATAAACGTATTTCATGTTTTGCACACAAATGCAGAATTTGTATAACCACATGACTTCACAGTTGTGATCTCGAAGAGGGAATTTCTCCTTTTTCTTGCAGTTAATGTAAGAGCACTCTAAATCTCTAAGCTTCTGAAGTGTTAGAGGTAGAGATGGTCTAGTAACGATGTAGTTTGTAATGTTTTATCCATTTAGCATGTGTTTATTTTTCCTTATGTACTCAAAGGTGACTTATTTGTTCAGCTCAGTGATATTACAACTAAGAATCATTCAGTAGCAAAAGGAGAAGCAATCTCAATCTAACAAATCAGAAATGTTTCTTATTTTATATTGAGTTGAATATTTGACTCTAACACTTTTCTACATACAAAACACGAGTATCTTGAGGGTTCTTCATAATTGCATTTTAGAGGAATTAAGTATGCCATAAGTACTTCTTAAAGATTTGACATTAGAATGTAGTATCCATATGTTGGTTAATTTTCTTATGAGCCCCATGACGGAAAGACTTAAAGATGAATTTGAGAAAATTGAAAATTAGATTATCAGGTTCTGTTAAATTGTTACATGTATCTTGCTTAAGTTTTTGTTAATTTATATCCACCCAATTACATAAAGCAAATTTGGAGGAAAACCTGAAGTTGTGCAATATTTTCAGTGATAATTTTTTTTATCCTTGTGTTTTCTACTTATACATGATGTCTGTGTCATCAAGTATTATAATCAGACTTTCCTTTTTTTCTAGATTGTTAAAATTGGTAAGTGAACTTTAAAAAAAAATCATCTTATGTTGCTGTTAGTCTTTATTGCAAGGCTTTTTTTGCAGGAGTTTGGCAGTAATATTGAAGGAACTAGTATTGAGCTGAAAAAAAATTTTAAGGTACTTTGTATTCTTTAATTTTGATTTCCATACACCATGTTAAGAACTATCAATTTTGGCTTTTACTAAATTAAATAAAGTTATAATACAGTTATAAAGGGCTACAGTTAGAGTTGATTACATAAGAATATTCCCCAAATTATCTAATCCTTTCTTGAAAATGGTGTATAAATTTTAAACAATGTATAAATTTAATCTCTAGTTCTGTAAACTTTTTGGGAAGATTTTTTTATGGTGTGGTACTTAATACCATCTAATCATAAATTTAGAAGCTTGATAGCTTCAAATTTTCTGAAGCTAAATTATAGGTGCAACTTTTAGATTTGGGCAAGATGTGTTCAAGGTTGGCTGTAGGATTTGAAATATATGAAAAGCCTGACCAGGAAATAGTAAAAGAATCTTTTAAGTGTAAACCCAACAAGTTGAAATACTTTGGTTCACAAAAACCTTTTCCATTCTCTGAGTGTCTTTATAGGGAATTTCTTAAACCAGGAGAACATTCCCCCTACTACTGGTGTCCCCTGTGTAATATAAGCCAATATGATTTTATAGAATACAGTGAGCATTGTGTTAACATTCTTTTCATACAAAGCTTCATCATAAGGAAGCATGCATTTTAAAAAAGGAGTGACAGTAGTCAAAAGCAGACCTGCTTATATTCCTTGAGACTAAAATGGTAAACAATAAAGAAGGTAGGTTTCTTCGACAGGATTCCAAAATGTAGGCAGTTGGGTGCTTACCCCTGCTTAAAGGCATTGCCTAGCAGTTTCTCAGAGCCAACTGATGATACTTGCAGCCACTGTAGTAACCTCAACTAATTTTGTAAGCCTTTAATTTTGAAATTAGTGGACATCAGAAAAGTTGGATTGGTTAGTATTTCAAGTACTTTTAAATTTACTTACTGAATGTAAAAATCTTCTACTCTTTTCCTGGATGGGAGAAAGTCAGAGAAGATAGTTTAAAATCCCTCCTGTACCCTCTTTACAGCTCCCCTGCACTAATCTTACACTCGACTACACTTCCCCTAAGACACAGGCTGTTCAGAATGTCTCCATCATGGGAAGCATGGGCTTAAGAGCCATCAGCATCCTGAGCTGTTCTTCCTGACTGTGTTATATTAACCCTTTGGGGACTTAGTTGAATTCCTTCTAATTTCTTCCAAGTCTCAGTTCCTAAATATTTGGCCACTGAGGTCTCATTTCCATAAATTTCATGCCTTTTCTAATCATGAAGGCTGTGTTCCTGCTCCCTTCAGAAATGAATCCATAAGTACTGGGCTAGCCTGCCTGTTTAAAGACTGGATTTACCCATTCATGTATTTAAATACATTTTTTCCCTTAAAGATGTACACAAAACCTAGGTGCTTATTAATAAATGCTTGTTAAATAAAGTATAGAGTAAAAATGTCCAACTATTAAATTCATTGTTGCATTAAATGTAATTACTGATTGGCCTACTACTATTAAATGAGAATTTCCTGAGAGCCATTAAAAATGGTCTCTGAAAAATTTTTTTTCTCAGTTCTGTAGGTGAAAACATGTATTTGCCTATGGTTAGGCAGTGGTTTAATGCTCACAATTCAGATTTATGGCTTTCATGTGGTAATTCAAGTGAAATATAAGGATTTAATGGAGTAACTGTAAATGTTTGATTGTATAATATAAACATTTTAAAATAGTACTTTTTCTGAGTGGTTTGAAAGATATAGCAAGTTAATTTTAGGTACTGAAGGAACGTTAAGTGGGCTATTTATTTAGCTCTGTACATTAAGAATTATTTTTACTAGAGAAAAAGAACCTCTTTTTTAAGCTCCTAGGAGTTACATTACAACACATTAAGGTTTATATTAAAATGACACAGATGTTAATAAATTGTGTGAGGCACATGTATTTTGGCAATATTAACTTAAATATACTTTGTAATTTGTTTTCTGAGAGCCTGTGGGTCTAAAAACATCCCACAAAAAATGATTAGCCTACTTAATTCTACCCAGTCCTTCTATAAATCATATAGTGGTCGTTTAAAAAAATAACTGCATGACTGAGTGCTCGCTGATTATTCAGAGGTTGATTGTCCAGATACAAATATCCAGACTTTGCTTTTCCATTTTACCTTTTGCTATTTCCTTACTCTTTAGCTTGGAAACAGAAAATCCACAAGTCCCTCTTCAACCCATTTCCTGATCCATAAAATTTTTGTTAGGGGCTTCAGCAAAACTGTACAAAAAGGTTTTGGATTTATCTGCATGTTTTAATTATCCACATTGTTCTTGTTTGCTTTATCACTCTGAGCAACAGGCATTAGCTCAGGACAACAGCTGGATCCGTCTGATTTATGTTGCTGACAGACTAAAACCATTTACTGTTTTCATAAAGTTTTCAAGGCAAATTTAGGAGAGATACTAACTGTCCTTCACATTTTTTTTCCTTGAGAAGAGTTACTGTCCACTGGAAGATTTAGTCATCTTTGGATGCCTCCATAGAAAGTTTGCTTTTCTCTGCCTATGAATGAAGCAGCATTATCAATAAGGTATAGACTTGAAGCATCTAAAACTGATTGGGATCAAAGGAGGAGTGGCATCTGTATGGTTTGGACCCCTTCTATAACATCAGTGTTTATAGACTCCAGATTTCTTGTCCATGAGAAAAAGAAGTTGAAAAAGGTAACTGAGGGTTTGCCTCAAGAGTCTGGTCCTGTGGGTGAACTCTGAATGCTTGTAAGATTTGTTGGCTTTGCAAAAATGAGCCCAGCTTTTCTCAGGGAGGCCTCATAATAGTTCACCTTGTCATTTAGGATCCAGAACCAAGTCTTAAACATTGTGTGAATTGGGAAGACTGGATTACGCTATCAAAGACATTGAGATTCGCCTCCAACACTGGTCCATTCTAGAGGTATGGAAATAGGCTACACTCTGCCAATTCCAGAACCATGCCACACAGACAGAATGCTCCATGTGTTCAAAGCAAAGGATTTCTGGTGTTTGAGCTATTAGCCAGTACCCTTTCCATCCTTAATAGTGGCCCAGAGGTCAATATAAGTCAGATCCAACATTAAACTGATAATTTTACAGTTTGAAAAGTAGTTCAGCAAAGCATAGGGTTTAGAATTCAGCTGCCTGGCTTAAAAACTTTCTGCTGCATATCTTTGTGATCTTAGGCAAGTTATTTAACCTGTGTCTCAGTTTTCTCATCTGTAATAGTCCCTACTTCATATAGTTATGAGAATTACATACATGTAAAGTGCTTAGACTAGCAAGAGGTAAATAGTGAGCACTTAATATTAGCTGTTTTTCCACCCAAAGCATATAGTATCTGGTGTTCTGAATGATTTGCTAATGATGTGAGGAAAAATAAAACCCAGTCCATTTATATGTGAAGTGTTAGCTGTGATGTATCTGATTAAACTCTAATGTCAGCTTTTAGAAGTCCAGAGCAATCTTTAGTAATTGTCTTCCCAAAGGAAGGGCTCTGTTATATTTTGTCACTTTACAGTAGGCTTTATATACTAGAAGCAATTCATACATTCCTCATTTAGAAATGGATTTTTCAAGCCCCAAAATGAGGTTCCTTGTTTGCGGACTTAATCTGTTGGGCCGTGATGAACTTTGCACTAGATTTCAAAAGAGCTCATGCTAACCAAAGCAAAAAAAAAAAAAGTCATTTTCCAACCTTAGAAAGCTGTATCTAAGAATCTTGTATGTATGAGAAGTTCCCATTTTTCTTGGTTTTCAGAATCTAAGCACCTCTCATTTATTAGTGAATTTGTTTGATGGTGCTAAAGACGTAAGGAAACTTACGAAAGGCTCACTGTTAGGCTTTAAATTTGAAGCAAAGGAAAAGACTGTCTAGTCCTCATCATCTTAGAAGATATAAACTTGGGAGTAGCTCCAGAGAAAAGCCCCTCTGGGTTTCTTTTTCTCCATGATTCAAGCACTCAGCAGGCTGAGGCTTTCTGAAAATCTCCTGGTGCTGTTCTTCAGTTGCTGGAACTCTTCCACCTGGGCCTCAGCCAAGTCTTCTGTTGGCATTGGCCTTTGAGGGTCCTGGCTTTGGTGTCAGGTTATGACTTTTTGCTGTGAATGACGAAAGCTGTCTTGGAAACACTCCCATTCTGACTTGAGAGATAAGGAGTAGGGAATCCTGCCAACACATGGGAGAGCTGATAGGGACCAGCACACTGCCAGCAGCCACCCTGTGAGTCTAAGGGCCTGTGACCAGTGAGAGGCAGAGGTAGACTTTGCTTTGTTGAGGTTCTGTTCAGATCATGTTACACAGTTGCTACTTCCTAATGGTGGAGTTCCTCTGTGTAATGGGGTTTTAGACTTTACCCAAATGAAGATTATTTGCTCTCCAACTGTGCTAGGCTACTCTAGAGGCCCTTGATTGAGAAAGCCTATAATTTCTGGTTGAGTTGCTTAGGTATATAAGGCTTTGGCAAAATGTAGGGAGGTGTCTATCTCTTGTCTTACTTTGGATATGAAAATCCAAAAATATAGTTGACCAGAGTCAGAATCAGAACCACTGACAGCAGGAAATAGCCTTAATCTAGTGCAAATTACTAATTTTTTGAGCGGGTCCATAACTTTCCCCAAGGTTACTATGAAAATTAGTAATAAAGCAGGGACTAGAAATTCAGGTCTCCTTACTTCTAGGCCAGAATTCTCCACCTGATAGTTGCCTCTCCAGGGCATATGTGCTGGAAAGCTCTGTACTATTAAGGTGATCTGAGAATTAACAGCCAGAATTAACAGACAGAATTAACAAGACAGAATTTTCACCTTCAAAGCTTCCACACAAGGATATGATGTTAGACACCTGACATTTTCACCCAATTTCACAAACATGTTTTTAATAGACTGTCTCAAGCTTCAGGGGGGATAAAGGAGACAAAACCCACTGATTGCTCTTCCCAGCCAGACTGTAGCTGTGACAAGATAGAGGTAAGGTGACATCGGCTAATTAATGAAGCCCAGCAGGAAATCAGTAATAACATTGACAAGGAAACCATCCTGGCATAAATTTTTTTAAAAATAAAGTGCCTATAATGAATGTTTAAAGAAAAGTTTTTTGCTAACTGCAATTTTGCAAGCTGTGCTTGGTATATCCTGTGTGCTGTTTTGTGTGTGTGTGTGTGTGTGTTTTTTAATACAGCAGTAGGTATTAGCCTTCCAATATGTGAAGGAACCACAGAAGGCCACCCTTATTCAGCAGCCTGGTTCTAGTCATTCCTCTCACCCTGCCCTGCCCAACAACCTACAAAGAGGCTGGTCTCCCAGAATCCAGGCTTTAGAGAGCAAGCGTATAGAGGGCTTGCTGTCGGTAGAGAGCATTCTTGGGTGTAGTCTAATAAAATGAGAAAAGTTTTTAATAGCATTTATGCCCTAAATGCAAAAGAGGATCTTGATTGAGGGTTTCCTGCTTTCTTTTCCTAATGAGAATATTGCTTTACTTAAAACCTGTGACTTCACAGACAGCTAGTTGAAAATGTTAATAATCTACCCAGCCCATGGCAAATTCAGAAGTTTGCTAAAAATCCAGCAATGCTGGAAGATTGGAAAAGTTGTTTGTGGTTCTTTCCTTACAGAAATTGCATTCATGTATTTTAGGAGTCACATTTCACAGATGCATATTTACTATGTACATGATTTTTTTCCTTCAGGGAAATAGTATGCTGTCATTAGGCTGTGAATGGTAAGCTTAGTGTCTGGCCACTGAACTTGAGTTTTCACTGTAACAGTCCCAGAGTTTGGAAATTCAGATGCTTTTAGGGACAGAAGGGTAATGTAAGTGTTTAGAGTAGCCTCTACCCAGCTCCAACTGATTGTTGCCTTATTGTCTTAAAGGGATGAGCCCCATGTTGCCAGATTAGATTTTCTTCTTAAATAAGAGTCCAGAAACCAGATTTATTTGTGAAATCTCCCCATTTTTAAATGTTAACTTATTTTAAAAACGTTTAAGGCATCATGTTGTCTAAATAAAACATACCTGGGCCATATGGCTTCTGATCAGACTTTCTGTCTTGCCCAAGAATTCAAGCAACACATTTTACTGAAATAGATGTTGCATGATCTCTTAAGTATATGTTTTATTACTTAAATATCTCCTTTCTCTTAAATGAAAAATCTAAAACATACACAACAGGCCAGGAATAACCATTCTAAGAAAAATGCTGTCAGTAAATAAAATGTACCTCATAGTGAAGTACAAAAGAATCTTGTTTTGTAAATTATTCCTAGTTTTAGTGTGGCATACAGTGAGGATGTGGACTGGTGTCTGAGAACCTTCCCCCACAAACTTCTTGGCTTTGGCACAGAAAGGGCCACACAGCCCCCCTTCTGTGAGGCCTCAGCAACTCCCATTCCTTAACGGTAGATTGACTTTTTTCTCTTTTTCCTACGGAAGAACTCAACATGTCTTTTTAGTGAAGTAATTTCCATTCAATTTTGTTTTAAATTGGATAGTGACTAAGGGAGTGGAAATGAAGGTTAAGAAGTAAGGTAGTGGGTGTCAGTGTGCAACCTCTACACCCAACCCTCAGAAGCCCTGATGGCCCTTCTGGCTCTGGAAGCGGAGACATTGCTGAATTTTGAAAAGTATCATAAATAGGTTTACCTCCAGACCAGTGTGGGTTAAAACAAAGATTTACAGGTGGTGGTGTTTGTTTTTTTAGTTAACTGTGATCCCATTAATATATTTCTAAGGAAAATGTAAACTGTTCATACATTCTCTTAAACATCACAGTGAAAAACAAGTACCCGTATGTGTAATAGGGCAGGCAGAGGGCTCTACCTGCTCTGTCCTTGGTAAAGGCCCTTGGCCACACTGGTGAAAATGCCGGCTTCCCTTCTGCATGGATACCTATGTCATGCCATCCCTGGAGCACCGGTGGACCCCAAAGGTAGGGCAGGGGGAGGAGATCTTTTTGAAATGTTTCCAGGAGCTCTGTCCAGCTGTCTCTGTCTTCCAACCTGGGAGTGCTGCGTAAAACTACAAGGACACTGATGAGACCATGGATCTGTTGCCATTTTCTAGAGAAGACTTGGCTTGGAGTATGGCTGCCTGGATTCTAAAATGTGTCCTTGACTCCATGGAGTAATTCTTGTAGTTTTGCCTGGAAAAGACCAGAGAATCAGGCATATAAAGCTGCTCTAAGGAGTGCTTTTCCTTCGATCTGAACTAAGAAACTACCAGGCCAAGGAAGATTTTCAGATGCTTAAAACTCTGTCCAAAGAAAGAGTTGGGCCTTGTCCAGTAGAGAGAAACAGAAAGGATGTGTAGCCCCTCACCTTGGTATTGTACCCTGTGGAACCACTCTTACTCCTGTTGAGTCACCAAGCTTTCGGGAATGATTTTAAGAAATAAATCCATGGGGCTAGAAGGCAGGAGACCCAAGTCTTCCTACCAGGCCAGTAGTTAGCTTGTGGTATGACCCTGGGTAATTCACTCCCTGTTTCTGGGATTCCAGTCCTTACTGGCAAATTGAAGAAGCCTCCCTATACCAGGGGAGAATTGGGTTCCCAGGGACACAGGTCCAGCCTCTGGACTGCCCTAATGTCCTTACCAGCATGCATGCTCCCTCTCTGCTGCCTGTGCTCCTTCCCCCCAGCCAAGGTGATCTGAGCTCGGGGCGGGGGGCATAAAGGACAGACCACGCTAACCACGCCTTACTTGGCAGTTTCCAAGAGTTTGACAGCCTCTTCGTTTCTGCCTTGCTCCATGAACAGTAGGGCCAGCTCCAGTAGGGCATTTGGGATCAAGTAGTGGTCATATTTAATCTTCTTTTCACTATGGGACAGAGAAGGACATGGCTTACAGTCTCTGCCCTTGAGATATTCTTCAGTCTTCCCGAGCCTTCCCCGAGTGGGAGGATCTAATCCATGCCCTCAGGTGGGGTTTCCAGATAATGAATCCTAGTTGGGGAAGGCTCCCACTACATAGCCATAGAAAGGCTTCTGATCCACAGGAGAGCCTTCCAGTCTTCTGCACCTAGGGCCCCAGTTCCCTGACAATTTATGGTTCATCCCATGTCCTTACCCCATGCCCACCTCTGTCCCCAACCCCCTTTGTCCAGGTTAAATGTTTTACTAAATTAGAAAGTCTACTGTCCCTAGACTGGCCCTTCTGATCCACCCTCCATGCTGCCCCAGAGATACTCTTTTAAAACCTAAATCTGCCCTGCTCAATATCCTTCCTGATCTTTTCTGTCTACAAGATAAAGTTCAGCCTTGTAAGCAAAACATCCAGGCCCTTTTCAGTCTAGCCCCCCTTATTTCATCTGTAACCTTTTCCTCTATAACTTCATCCAGGGAGGAAAAGACCTAATCACTCTAACCCCAACCTTAGGTCTTTTTCCTGTGTCTGGGCATTTCTACATTCCCTACATTCCCATGTTCTACATTCTACATTCCCTACATTCCCATGTTCTACCTACTCCACTTAAAACTCCTGCTTTCCTTTCTCTGCCTGATAAACTTCCCAGTTAAAATGGCATCCCTGGAAAGCCTTTCTTGGTATCTTGCATTATGTTCAAGTCCCTCCTCAGAGCACCTGCTGTCCTCCCTACTTTTCCTGTAACACAGCCCTGATCATACCAGATTGTGTTGCCTATAGCTGTCTGTAACAGTTGTGCTCCTCAAGGGTGGAACTGAATTACAAACTCGAGGAGGCACTCTTCACCTGAAACTTTAGTGTGGATGGACTCCTGTAGTTGGCAATCTGATGGCCCCAGGGAATGAGGTCTGAATGATTTGTGCCCAGCAAGGATCCTGGCACAGAATAGACACTGGTACAAGTGTAGTGAATGTGGGCAGGCTAGGGTCAAGCTGTGGAGTACATGTAAGAAAGGAGAGAACCTGCCAATTCTGCCCAGGAGACATGGGCCCAGCAGAAGGCCACCTGGAGTGGGAGCAGCTGCAGAGGCACTTACTTGGAAGAGATGCTCCTGAAATTCTCCTCAGCTTCCTGGACACGGCCCAGGTATTTCAGACAGAGGCCTTTCAGCAGCTTAACCAAGCACTCATCATCCACTGAGTACTCATTCTCTAAGAATAAGGGAAGAAGACAGGCTTATTTCTGTAACAGTCATGGAGCCCCTACTCTGCTGGACCCTGGGGATAGAGAGGTAACACCACATGGTCACTGTCTTCAGGAAGCTCACATCTGGGAAGGACAGATACCGAGACAGTGACAATGTAGTGAGATCAGGATTGACTTGAAGGGAGAGCCCAGAGAAGACTTTGACCCTAACTGGGGCCAAGGGACAGCTTGGAGAAGCTGCCACTGAAGCTCAGTCTTAGAAAGCCAAAGGACTGTTAACCGTGGTAGAGAAGGAAGGAAGGACATTTTTAGTAGCAGGAACCTTTAACTATAAAGACCTATGATCTGACTCAGCCTGGCAGGTTCAAGGGCCGGGATTAGTCACCTGGACCCTTTTCCAGCATCTCTTCAGCCTTGGTGATAATCCCAAGTATCCCGTCTGTGAGTTCCGGCTGCTTCCCAATCACAGCGTAGCCATTCCAAATGTACATCATTTCCTGAAGGCAGGGGAGCAAGTCAGTCCAAAGGTTTCCTCCCCAGTGGGGCCTCAATTTCCCCAGGTGTAAAATGGGCAGCTCAGATCCAGAGGATCACTAAAGGCCCTTCTATCTCTAATCTTTTATGACATACTTCAGCCCAGCCTATGAAGTTATGGGCTCGAAGCGGTCATGGCAGGGAGCTGCACATAGTTTTTAACTACTCCTCTGCTCATGGCCTCCTTGGGTGGTTATCATGCTCTCTCCCAACCTCTCTGTGTCCAAACTCTTCCCCCAAACTTTGAGGACCAGGCTGTGATCCACAGGACTTTCTCCAGAAAGTCCTCCTCCCTGCCAGTCTGACAGGACCTCCCATATTGGAAGAGCTATATTTATTTAAGCACTTCAGGATTTCCAGTAGCTCTTAAGACTGTCACCCTGTTTCTCTTAACCCCAAAGCACTGGGCTTGAGTTACCATCATGAAAACTATGCAACACAAACTGATTCCTTTCTTTGCTTCAACTGTCAGGAATCTCAGAATACTAAATTAAATGTTCATTTATAGTCATTCCATTAGCATTTCCTAAACTATGAATCCAGGCAATAGATATGAAGGTGATTTGCATACAAAAAGTTTTAAAAAGATGTTATTGTTTTGGTTCTTGTTACTTTGTTATAGGGAGGGAATTTAAGATTAGAACCAGTATTCCTCAAATGGTGTATATGGTCCCAAGTTAGCAAATGTTCCTTCAAAAAAAAGAGGTCTGTGGCCAAATAAGTTAGGGGGAAAATCATCTTCAAGCTTATTCTTGGAAACTTACCTATATGTATTGTTATATAAAGGCTCCAAAATGTCCACGGTGTATAAACCTTGTTTAGGCCAGTCTTTCCCAAATATATTTAATCACAGAAACTATTTTAGGCATAAATAGCATTTTGCAGATTATTATAGTTTGGGAAATATGATTTTGATTCATAAAATATTTAACACAGTTAATCAGCTAGTTCCCATTACTGCTATATGAAATGGACAATTATCATTCCTAATTTTCCATTAAGGGAAGGGGAACCCTATTCAACGGCAAGCACATTGTTAGTGAATAGTGGAGCCAGGACCAGAAAAAAGCAGTTCCCTTTCCACTTTTCTGGCTACCTTAGTATCTGAATAACAAAGACTCTTAACAAGCTGGAAACTTCTCAAGTTGATGCCTGTCAAAATCATGCGTGGAATTAGCATAACAGTGGTTCAGAATCTGGGCTCTAGAACCATTCTAGGTTTAAATTCTAACTCTTCAACTCACTAGCTGTGTGACCTAGATAAGTTATTTTATCTTTCTACTTATATCTTACCTATGTATTAGAAGTTTTATCTTTCTACTTTCTGTAAAATGGGGATACCACCAGCATCTGATACTCAGGGTTGTAAGGATCAAATGAGGCAATGGGTGTAAAGAACAGTCAGCACCCAGTAACATTGTCAGCTATTGTTTACTACAGAGTTGACTATAACATGGTCCCAGGCCTGAGACTTGGTCCAGTGAGGGGGACAGTGTAAACCATTACAATCCTGTGATAAAACTGAAACGGATGGGTGGGAACACAAACAGCTGAGTGATGCCCTAGCCTGCACACAGGGGTGTGGGCCTACTCCTTCACCTTGAGGCAGCTGAAGCCTGCTTACCTGTCTCCCTGCCCCCACCACTCCAGTACTGCCTCAGGCAGGGTCTGGTCAGGCCTATTTGTACGCTTCCCTCACAGTCCCAGGGAAACTGCGAAATCCTTTCCAGGCCCTGAGGCAGGAAGGTCTTTCTCCCCTAACCACTTCCCCTGGCCTTAGCAGTATCTCTGGCTTTCAGCTAATCCCCACAATCCCAAACAAGTACTGGGACAGTCTAGACCCTCCTACCCACCAGAGCAGGGATTGGCAACGAGATCGGTTTGGGAGAGAGGTAGCGTCTGGACTTCCGGATAGCAAACTTCTCTGTAGGTAGAGATTTCCCAGCAATCTTGAGCTTTAGGCCAGGCACTGCTCTGTGAAAGAGATGAGGGGAAGAAAAAGCTAGAGAGGACTGAAATTTCCAGCCGCCCCAGCCTCTGCTTGGCTTCTCTCTGGGCCTCCGTTTCCCCAGTTTATATGAGGGACTGTGTTGGACTCAACCCGTGGCTGTGGCCTTCTATCACAGGGCCTGCCCACAAACCTGACCACTTCCTGAGGCTAGGTAAGAGGGCTCCACACCAGGAGGCAGAGGTGAGAATGTCAGCAAACGCTCCAGGCCTGCTTTGCTGGTTGTCTTGCTTCCACTCTCGGGCCTCATTTCCAGAAGGCCCAGCAGAAGTCTGACCCCAGTTTCACAGGGGAGATTAACACCCAGAGAAAGGGAAAGACCCGCCCACAACCACACAGCTCAAACCTTTAATGAACTTGCCACGTGAGTTGTGGCCTCCTTAGCTGTTTCCAAGGGCAGAGTAACATGTGTGTATCTAGGCAAGCCTCCACATCTGGGGCCTCACCCACCCAGCTCCATTCCCACCCTCCCAGTTTCTGCCAGTTGCTGGGTGTGGCTGTGACACTCAGCCTGAGCCATCCAGCTGGATCAAGTTCTGCACCTCCCTGCCGAACACCTCCCCTGCTCATTCACTGTGGAACCTCTCTGGGCCCCCGTTTTCTCATCTCTGAATTTGAGATAGTGATATGAAGGGGAGCAGAATTTGTCACCCCAAAATATGGCTCTTTGGCACAAGGATTATTTTAGGCTGACTAAGAAACAGCAGATACAGGAAAAGCTCTGAAAACCTAGTAGCAGCTGCCCTTTCGTAAGAGACAATTATATTTATAAGCGAGATTTTCCATTTATAAGGGCTTCTCTTCTACCTGGAAGAGGATAATGACAAGCCCTAGAAACTCTTAAAGGAGAAAGCTGACTTATCTGCAGGACTACCTTATCCTCCTTGACTTTGCTTTGCCTGAAAACCTCCCAGAACTGGCTCCCCACCCTCCCAACATGTTCTGTTATCTTTAGCTGGGGATGATGTTTAAGGTGATGGCTTGGGCCATTTCAGTAACTCTTTTCCTGGGTCTCTCCCATGTAAACAGGATATACATGTTATTAAACTCTGGTTTATTTTTCTCCTGTTAATCTTTTATTCTTAGGAGTAGGGGGAGTATCTCAGCCAGTTTCTAACCAAGATCCTAAAAATATGGAGGGAAAATGATCCTTCCTCCCCCACAGATACTTACCTTCCCAGACTTTCTGGAAGAGCTATGAGATGGAGAAGTGGAGGCACTTGGTAAATATAAACACCCTACCATTGTGACAGCAGTTAGCGGGAAGCTCAGGTTACCACCACTCCCAGGTCTCCAAGTTGGGGTCAGCCCTCACCCCTGACTAGAAGAAGGCCTGAGGCTCCTTCCTCAGCCTGCTGAGGCTGAGCCCTGCTCTAGACCCTTTGCGGAAGGCAAACAGCAGCAGAGATAACAAGAAAAACAGCTGCAATTTAGTGATTCCAGGCCCGCACCATCTTCAACATAGTTTCTATTTGATTCACAAAACAACCCTGCAAAGCAGAAGTGGTTATTCCCATTTTATAGCTGCTGAAATTGTTCACAGTGCTATAGCTAAGAAACAGCAGAGGCTGGATTTGATCCCGTTTGATTCCCACATTTTGGTCCTTTACTGAGCTTGAGAATAGCAGGCTAACTCAGCAGAAGGGGCCTCTCTGAACCTCAGTGTCCACATCTATCCTACTGACCAGAAGAAGGAGGCTCACTGGAAAGGATGTTGACAAAACCACTTTCTTGGGGGGTGGGAGGTGGAGCCCTCTGAAAAGATTCAAAGGGCTGGAACAAGCAGCAGCAGGAAGTGGTGGTGGTGCAAGGGAAGGAGGCACATGGGGCAATCCTGGGGGAGCGTCAGGGAGCTCAGAGCCAGGGGAGGGGAGTTAAGAAGCCCGCCACCTCCCTCCCTGGTGCCCACAGCTCAGGGTGGCTGTGGGCAGATGTGGCTGAGACCTAGGACCCACCTAAACAGCTCCACTTCATCATCCCCGAACGGCTTGTAATCCTCCTTTCCAAACATGCTGAGGTAGGCGGCCTTCATGTAGATGTAGGTGGCCTGTGCAAGGCAGAGCAAGAGTGAGAGGTAATCAGCCCCCCTCCATATACCTCCATTGCCAAGCCCCAGGGGAGAAACTGAGGGTGAGGAAGCTGAAGCGCCTTGGGGACTTGAGATGGGAGCAAAGTCCAGGAGATGCCCACATCAAAGCCGCTTCCCTCCCTTCTCTGATGCAGTGGAGGGAAGGACTCCAGCAACAAGTGGGTGTGCGGGACAGTGGGTGTGATGGACACACAAAGGGCAGTAAGGGCTTCTGAGAAGCAATTCCTTCAGACTGGACCCTTGAGAGCTAATGGGAAGATTCACAGAGACCTGAGAAAGAACTTTCCAGACAAGGCAAACAGCCTGAGCAAAGCCAGGTAGGGACCAAGATGTATGGTAAGAAGGCGACAAATAGGTAGCATAAAGTATGGAATGTATAAACAGGTGGGAGGCCAGAAGAGTGAGTCAGGGTCCCTATGTATAACTGCCTTCCTGTGTGTCAGGCACTGTACATACCTCACCTCAATTGATCCCAAAGACAATGCCAGAAAGGAATCTGTACCTGGCCTCTGCTTCCTGGGACTGCAGAGCTTCTGGGACAGAGCTGGAAGCGTCCCCAGTTTTGTGCGCTTCCAGGGCCTTGCCCAGTGGATCCACAGCCAGCCCTGACAGGGAAGGTGCAGCTGTGCAGAGACCTCCATCCCCACCCCAAAGGTACATCCCTGAAATCTACTCCCGTTCCCGGGAGTCCAACACTTGAGAAACCTGGCTCTATCCTGCCCCCCAGTGGCCAAGCCTTGAACCTCAGCTCCTGCCACCGGGGGCTGTGGAAAAGTACCTGCCAGTGGCTCCCAAAAAAGTACAGGGGGTGGAGAAGGAAAGAGAGCAAAACGTCGTGGATTCTCAGGAAAAGTCAGAAAGCAGCCTCCACTTGGGGCCCCTCTCAGGCTGAAGCTCAGGGTTACTCCCAGTTCCACTCTGCCCTCCACACTTCCATCTGCCCTTCACAAAATGAGGAAGCAGGGGTGGTGAGGAGAATATCCCCACTTCCCCACTCTTTAACCTGCTGGTGTCACCCTTACCTTTTCCCTCTCTACCTGGCACTGAGTCAGCAAGTCAGCATGATCTTACCTCCTCTATAGCTCTGGAATCCCAGTGGCCTCGCCCTCATTCTCTGCACCAGCATCCACCCCACATTGCCCTCACTCCAGGACATCAGGTATGTCTTTCTCCTGCCCTTGTCCATATGGTCTCCTAAGCCATCCCCTTGCTCTCATCCCTGTCCCTGCAAGCCATTTCCACACCATTGCCAGTCTGTTTTTGATTTAATTATTTTATTTAACAGAGAGAGAGCATGAGTGGGGGAAGGGGCAGAGGGAGGACAAGCAGACTCCATACTGAGAGTGGAGCCTGACCTGTGGCTCAATCCCATGACCCTGAGATGGTTACCTGAGCTAAAATCAAGAGTCAGATGTTTGACCAAATGAGCCACCCAGGCACCCCACTCTGATCTTTTTAGTCAGGTCATATCAATTCCTCTTTGAAATCTTGATATCCCATCATGCTTAGGATAAAATCCAGACACCCTGTAATGGACTGTAAGCCCCTACACCGTTTCCTCCCCCAGTTTCCTCTCCAACTTCATGTTGTTCCCCCTCACTCACATCACTCTAGCTACACTGGTCTCTGGGCTGTTCCCCAAATACAGGAGATGCACACAGCTTCCCCCTCCCCAACCCTTGCATCTCCAGTGTCCTTTGCCTGGAACGCTCTTCATTAAGAAATCCTTATGGCTTGCTCCCAGACTTCATTCCGGTGTCTTCTCGGACAGGCCTTGCCTGACTTTTCTTTACTGCATATACCAGCCTGACATTATATTATACGGTAAACCTATTTGTGTGTTTCTTATCCCTCTTCCCACTAAAATATGGAAGGGTCTTTGTTCACTGCTGGATGTCCTCGGGACCTGGCACATGAGGTGCCCAACAACTGCAGGAGGGACTTCTTAGAGCACAGATCTAAGCCACAAACATGAGGAGCTCTCCCACTGTCAGGCTGAAGCCCAAACACCCCCTCAAGGCACTCTGTGCCTGCTTTTCTGATCCCTCTTCTGCCATTTCTCCCCCATCAGTCCTTAAACTCCAGGCCCTCACCTGTGCCATCTCTTTGCCTGGGATGTCATTGTCCCTCCTCATCAGGCTCATCTATGGGCCTCCTGTAAGAGCCTTCTGGTATCCCTCAGCCACCCCCAAACAACTTACCCTTATTGAGTCACCAGAAGTTAGGATGGATGCAGTGACCTAGAGTTCTGAGACCCACAGACATCCAAGTTGCAAGGGATGCTATGGGGCCACAGGGATGGAAAACAGCCACCTCTCTGGGTGAGAGTCCTGTCTCCCCAGGCTTGTCTGATTGCCCAGTGATTTCACACATTTATTTTGCTGGATAACTCTACCAGGCTCTGTGTAGATGGACAGTCCTTTGTCCTCAAGAAGCTTACAGAGTGACTTAAGGGGAAGGACCCTCCACAGTACCCCTGCACTCCCACCTACAAAGCCCTTCACCAGTGACACAGAACACAGCACCCTGAGCCTCTGTCCTTGCTGCTCTCCTCACTTGGAGTATCCTTCCACTTCCTCCACTCTGCCACCCTAAATCCTCCTCTGTCTTCGTGGCTGGGCTGCTCAGGGCTGCATCTGAGCTCCCCTTAGGTTCCCCCACTACGATGCTCAGCACAGCACTGTCCCCACTATGTGTGTGGCCATCTCAAGCAGCAAGCACTGGGAGAAATGCAGAGGCTTCACATGGATGACTTGGCACAGTCCAGGCAAAGAGGGATTCTGAGCAGAGGGGATGATGCATATGGCAGTGGCCACACCCTAAGTCCCTAGAGCTGGAAGTTGGTGGATTCTGGTGGCCAAGTGCTACAATTAGGAATGAATGAGGCCCCAGAATTCAAGGTGCTACAACCCCCACTTTCACAGGAAACACTTCTGAGAAAAGCACTACAGAGAGAGGGGGCTGACCACCTCAAAGTCAGTGAGCTGGCAATAGAGCTGACTCACAGCCAGACTTCTTGACACCTGGGAGGCCTGGCCTTCCTCAGTTCGTCCCAGCAGCTGCAAAGCCACCCCAGGCCTCTTCTTCCCTGTGTATGTGAACCCAGCTGCCTGCCTCCCTCCACAGGAACACTTCTAGGTCACTTTAGTTCAACAAGGTTCCCTGAGGTTGTGTTCCTGTTAGTGGTGTGAGGTGATGCAGAATGAATGCCAGGCCCACAGGGACTGGGTCTGAGGGAGCACCTTCAACAGCAAGGTGGTCTCAGGGCAAGAGGGGCCTCCTAGGTGGGACTTAAGGAACAAGGGAAAAGCAAAGGCCTTTGAGTCACACAGAACTGTCTTCAAATCCAGTGTCTGTCACCAGCAGCTGTGTGGGCCAGGGAAGTCACATACCTTCTCTTGGCCTCCATGTCCCTGTGCACCCAGTGGAGGTAATTCCTACCTCATCGGGTGTGCTATAGAGAATCAGCAAGTGCTGGGCACACAGCAAGAGCTCAGTGAAAGCCTGCCCCCTCCTCCAGCCCCGCCTGCCCCAGACCCAAAGAATTCCCTTTCAGCTTTGTCTTGGCAGAGGTACTGAAAAGGTAGGGGAGGGATGAGAAATCAGGATTTCAGGTCATTGAGACACATGGTCTGTGTATTTGCCAATACCAAATTGGATGCTCTCTGATGATCTCTGTGATTCTAAGAGTCTTAGTTCAGCATTCTCTGCTATCATTACTGTGATGATAATGGCTAATACTTGTTTCATCGCTTACCATAATGTCATAAGTTTTCACTCACTGTGGGCATCTGCTGTGCCTTATTTTGCCTTTATAGCATCTCTTTCTTTAATGCCTCCTCCCACCAACCAACACTTTTTCTGGGGACCTTATTTTTTTCTGGAGAACCACCCCTCTCCTATTCTTGATCCATGAGGAGTCTTCCCACTCCTGTTTCCAAGCACTGACATGTGATCTATGCCAGACCAGTGAGCCTCGACTGTGGGACTATGGTTGAAACCAAAGGGAAGATGTGAGTTAGGGTCAGGCAGTCCATAGCCACCCTGTCACAAGGAGAAAACCCTCCTGCACAGCAAAGATGTCAAAGGGCAGAGTACAGCCACAGATGGAAAAATGTCAAGCCCAGGTGACATAATTTGAATTCCAGGATCCAGCCCTACCTGAAATCATTTGTGCCTAGAATTTTCAGGTCTATCAACCAAAGAGCCTTTTGTGTTTTCAACCTGCATAGTCCATATTTAGTGGCCACTAACCCCGAGTGACTTTTTAAGTTTAAATTTGAATTAAAATTAAATAAAATTGAAAGCACCCAGTTTGCACTAACACACTGCAGGTGCTCAATGTGCCCATGTAGCTGGGGGCTACCTCCACCATAACAGAATGTTCTCTTAGACAGCGCTCACCCAGACAGTTGAGCCATGCTTCTGTCCCTTGTGACTAAAAAATCTTGACTGACACTGTAGTTCTAAACTTTATCTGCTCCTCACGGTCTTTAGTTCCTACCAACCCTGAGTCCTCTTAGAACTTATGGTTCTGTTTAAATTCCAGCTGAGACAGGCTTTCAGTCAAGGGTTTGGCCCTGGGTCTGGGGGCCTCATGGCCAGACGGGGTTGGCCTGGTCCCCCAAGGTCCCCAGCACCTGGTATCAGCCCACCTTGGACCAGGAGTTCTCCTTGCTGAGCAGGTCGGCATAGAAGTAGGCCATCTTCCACTGGCCCTTGTAGGTGAAGCACCACATCAGCTCCCAGTAACACATGTGGTGGAACTGCTTCCAGTGCTGCTGGGCCTCACAGCACTCCTCGAACCGCTGGATGGCCTGCGGGCACCTGCTGGTCAGCTTCATGGTCCCACCGCCCTGCCCCATTCCATAGCAAGCCCAGCCTCCTCCAGCGCACAGTGGTCCAGCCCTGTGCCAGGCTCAGGGAGGGAGGGCAGGCGGCAGTGCTGGGGAGACAGGAGTTCTGGGCTCCAGGCCTGGTTCTATTGACTAAGTCTTATAGGACGAGCTTGGGCTCAGTTACTGCCCCTCCCTGGGACTCTAGTCTTTCTGCACAGAATGAAAGGATGGGATGGAGCTGTAATGGAAGGACAGGAGGCAGGGGAAAGTATTAATATGAAAGCGATACAATGTCTGTGCCTCACAGGAAACTCCGAAGTTTCCAATAGCTCCCACAAAAGGACCTGGACCTGGGGCATCTGTCTTGCTGCTTGAGGAATCACAGCCAAGGCCAGATGGAGACCCCAGAACTCTACATTGTACAGTCCCTCCTGGGGACTCAGCCAGACCCATGTCCCTCCCCTCTCGAACCCCTTCGATGGCTCCCATCTACGGAGACCCCCCAGCCAGGTCATCAAGGTGCCCACCTCACACCCTGGCACTGCTGTTCCACTCACAGTGCCTGTCACCATGCCCTGAGTAAGCAGGGCTTCCCACCCCAGCTCACCAAAGGACCTCCGGGTGCAGGAATGCTACAGTCCTGCATCTCCCCATCAGGTCTTCCTCACCACGAATGCCACCTCCTCCCTCATCTTCCCAGGCTGTCCCATTCCAAATTGCTTCTCCCACCCCTGCTCTCTTGTTGGTTCTCTCTTAGAGCCCTCCTCCCAGAGTCCACCCACTGGTCTGGGAGACCACAAGGGGTCACCAGCACTGGCTCAGTCCCCTCCCTTACTCACTATGTCAACATTGCCTTTTATGGCTTCAATCCGCCCGGCGAAGAACAGGAAGATGGCGCCCTGCAATGACATGCACACAGATCTGTGTGGGCACGCAGGGCACACATGGGCAGGGGCTGGTGCCAGCAGGCAGGCAGGGGGGCCCACCTTAGGGTATCGCTTCAGGTAGGGCTTCAAGAGCTTCTCTGCTTCCTCGATGTTGACATTCCCGGTACCTGAAGGAGGTGAGGGGACAGCACATATCACCTATCACCGGCTCTTGGAATCCCCCTGGCAATCTACCAGAGGCTTCCTGGGGCCGCCTCTTCCCTCTCTGTGAAATAGGGGTAATTCTTCTACCTCCAGGGTGATGTGAGGATTATATAAGATGGTGCTGACATCATCCCGGCACACCAGCCAAGCTCAATAACCAAGAGCCCATGCCCGCCTCAGTGGTACCCACAACCCCCAGGGTCCACTACAGGGTCCTCACACCCTCTACAAGGTGGGCATGGCCACCCCATTTCACAGATGAGAAAACTGAGGCTGGAACCTGGTCACATTGTGAGGAAGTGAACGGTCGGCAGGCCAGGCCACAACACTGCTGACGCAGCTCCGTTGGTTCTGGCTTCAGAGCCCCACCTGGCCCAGTCCTGGGGGCCCAAGCAGGGTCTGCAGCTCCTTGCCCTCCAGTCCCCTGCCCTGAGAGCCAACCACACCCTAGATGCCCCATTCTGGCTGTCTCCCCGCCACCCCCACAAGGGCACTCTTACCGAGCACAAAGGTGAGGAAGGTGTGGTAGCAGAGCAGCAGCATGACACAGAGCACAGCGCGGAAGCTGTGTCCTGACGCGCCCTCCTCCAGCTGCAGCAGCCCGTAGTCCTGGGGGAGAGAGCGCGGTGGGCTGAGGCCGGACCCAGGCTGGGGGCAGGGCCGGGAGGTCACCAGACAGCTGGGAGGGCCGTGCTGATGGAGCAGGGACAGGAAAGCACTGGACTCTGCATCTGGATCCCTGCTGGCCAGGTCAGCCGCGCTCGGGCGGGGCCACCCTCAGCCAGGCTCCCCTCTCGGTACCCTGGCCACCTTTCTGGGGGCAGGGGACATTGCTGCCAAGGCCAGGGCAGAGGCTTGGGTCCAGGTGTCCCCCACTTCCTCAATAGCTCCTTCCCCATTCCTGCCCTTATTTACCTGCTGGCCCCCAGGGTGAGCAATGAGGCCCGGAGCAGCCCCGGGTCTGGTCAGGGAGGAAGAGAAGCCAGACTGCACTTGAGGCAGATAATCCTAACCATAGACTCAGAGCACAGATGGGACCACGAGGACTGCGGCCTAGGAAGGCTTCCTGGAGAAAAAGCCTCTAGAGCTTGGCTGGGGAGGAGAGGCCAGACTCCCCTAGTGTCCCTGTCTGCAGTCCGCCCCCATCTATTCTTCAGGGTATTCTCATTCTTTCTAATATACAAATCTGACCTACCTCACCCCTGGCCTCAAACCCGCCACAGCTTCCTTGCCTTCAGGATAAAGATGAAGCCAGAGCTGGTATCTGAGGGCTCTCCCACTTTGGCCTCGCCACCCTCTCCTCCTACCCAGGCAAGCCACACTGTCCCACATCTTGGCCTTTCTCATGCTCCTCCCTCCTGTCATCATCCTGAAATCCTTCTCAGGACTCAAGGGCCCTCTTAAGAAAACAAAACTAAAAGGGACCTTTGGAGCCTCTAACCGGTGCTCCCCCGGACCCAGTCCATGGACCATGGACAGGTCTCCAGACAGACATGAGGCTCAGAATCCCAAGATCCCAAGTGATCTCAGTTCTCAGTTCTCTGTCTGTCCTGATGGTGTCCAGGAGAAAGCCCCAGTCCTGTGCTGGTGTGTGTTCAACACCACTGTCGCTCTAAACACCTCTTCCCACAGGAAAACAGCCTTGGTAGATCATACACCCTGCTTTCGCAAGACCGCTTGGTGCTCGTAGGATTTATGGTTATGATTATGTTCTTATCATGCCAAATAACATGAATTTTCTATGTAGTAGTGTTTCCTTTAGATAAACCTAAGTTAAAAATATGAGCCATTTGGGAGAAAAATAATACATAAATAATAATATAGAGGTCTGCGGACCTGGCAAAAGTCAGGCGAGGCCAGAGGAAGTTCAAGTTTGAGAAACACTGATCAGTCTAAAACAAAAAAGCCCCTTATTTTACCCAAAAAAGACACAGAGGAGGAGATGAGGCTGGACTGATCCAGGACTCCTGACTCTCAGGCCACTGTTTCTTCTACCACAATGGGCCTCCTCCACCAGGGAGTTTCCCTGATTTGCTACCTAGTACTCAGATTCCTGCCTTTAGGAAAGTCTCTGGGCGCTTCAGTCCTCTGGTTTCTGTCCTCAAGGCCTAATGCATAGTAGTGCTTCTCTTAGGTGACTCCCAGACAAAAAAAAATGGTTCCAAGGGAAAGAATTTTCTCAAGGTCTTCCAAGGAAGGAGCACCAGGTTGCTGACACCTGTAAGACTCAGAGAACATGATTCTAGGCCACTGCACGAAGCTGCCCTTCACACCATCCTTACCCTACAGCCTCTTTACCCTGTGTGGGACTGGGCAGGGATCACTGGCCCCATTTGATTGGAGAGCAGACTGAGGCTCAGAGAGGCCTGGGCCTTGTCCATGGCCACACACTGAGGGGGGCTGTGCTAGGACCGGCACACAGGGCCTGCGGCCCCGCAGCCCCACCCTGTCCAGCTGAGGCAGTCAAGAGTCCCAGAAGGCAGGTGGTTACCTTGTTTCCTGAAAATCCCACAAACTCCAGAAGCCGCAGGATCCTGGTAGGAAGCATGGACAGCGTCTGGCAGGAACAGGGGTAGGTGGTCATGAGGAGGGGTAGAAGCTGTCCCTCCTCCCCAAACCCCCAGAGTCCTGCAGGAAATCCTGAAGGAGCAGGACCTCTCTCCAGAACGTCCACAAGGAGGCCTGAGGTTTCTCAGAAAGCCAACTTCCCTGGAGAGAAAAGCACCTCAGTGCGACAACTAAGAGCAAACTGTCTAACTCCCAATCTCACCGTGCCCACTGGGTCACCCCGGACCAGCTACATAGCCTTTCTATGCCTCGGTTTCCTCATCTGGGAACCATAATAGCCCCTTCCTCCCAGGGGTACTGTGAAGGATCAGACGGCAGCTGGTGATGTCACACTGAACCCCTGCTCTGCACCAGGGGCTCTGGCTTTGCATCTGATCCTCAACAGTCTTGCCAAGAAAGATCACTGCCCCGTCCGACAGATGGAAAAACAGAGGCAGGGATAAGTGACAGGACAGGTCTAAGGCCCCACAGCTCATCAGAAGGCGAGCCAGTTCTCAAACCCAGGACAGCCTGGCTATAACCTGCTAAAGCATCTGATGAACTCTGCAGTTTGAACTTCTCAGCACTAAGGCCAGGATCCCTGTTCCCACTTTACATACAAGGAAACTGGGATTCAGAGTGGGGCAGGGACTCCTGCCCCAAGGCCTGCTCCTGGAACAGCCTTGCCTAGAGGGGAGAGAGCCATACCCTGCCACACACGCACTTCTGGACAGGTCTCTGGACATCTGGGGACAAGAGTCTAAATTGTTGATGAGCAGCTCCTCCTCCCAAGAAGAGGCCTCAGAACCTCCCCGCCTAGCTTAGCTCACACTGTTCCTTCTGCCTTGAATGCCCTTCCCGCCTACAGATCCTTCAGGACCCAACCCAAATATTCCCCACTCCATGAAACCTTCCCTAACCTCTCCCCAGGAAGGGGTCTCGGCTTTCTGTTCCTGTGGGTTGCCCACTGCTTCCAGGCCTTTCTCCCTCCCTGCTACTGGTCAATATTTAACCACCAGGTCTCCAGAGTAGAAAAAGGCCCTCATTTATTGTGTTTGTCTTTTCCTGGTCCTATAAACACTGCCACCCTGGTGCATTTCAAGCTTTCAACTTGACCTGGGGAGAAATGCATGGAGGGACTTCTGAAGCCAGCGCCAGCACCCACTCCCACCCCATGCTAGCTCTGAGCATCCGAGGCTGGCAACAGGTCTGCTTTACTGCTAGGTCCCTGGGCCAGCATGAGGCCCAGCGCCGTAAGCCAGCAGAGAGCAGGTGTACGGGCACTCCCAACTCACCAGGTTGAAGGCTCCCACACCGAGCTTCACACCTCCTTCAAAGTGTCTGTGGTTTTCTCCCTTGCAGTATTGTGAGGACTGCACAAGGCTGTCCAGCTCCCTGTGGAGAGAGGCAAAATCTTGTTCAGCCACATAGTGGGGGCAAGGTCCCCATTCCAGCTGGGACTAAGGTTGCCCCCCACTCCCAGCTGTTTCCAGAACTCGCTGATGGTAGATTGGTAAGGGTTCTGGCAATGCAGAGAGCTGACATTCGAGGAATTTCTAACCCCATCTCCATAACAAGATACTCCTTGCCCCTGAATGTCAGCCTTATCAGCCCTAGGGCACCTGCCTTGTCCAAAGTTTGCACATGCTCTGCATTCTCTCTAGAACAGTTTCTCTACTCTGGCACTACTGACATTTTAGGCTGGATAAATTCTTCATTCGTATTATCCCAGGATGTTTAGTGGTATCCCTGGCCGCCACCCACTAGATGCCAGAAGCAACCTCCCCCAAGACTGTCACAACCAAAATGTCTCCAAATATTGCCAAATGTCCCAGTGAGGAGCCACTGAGCTAACTCCAACTCCCCCTCCTTCAAGAAGTCTACCTGGAGCCTCTTGGTTGAAATCCAGCCCTCTTCGTCCTGGTCATCAGTCACATAGAATCCAGATCCCAGCCCGCCCTGGGCAGGTCAAAGGGTTTAAAGATGCGCCGGCCTCCTTCCCGGGCCATGAGCATCTTGAGGGCTTTCAGTAAGCAAACACTGACTGTGGCCTCTCTGTGCCAGGCACTGGAGAACAGCTAGAAGCAAAGCCACCAAGCTCCTGCCCTCACAACTCTCCTGCTCTGGAGGACAGACCCCCATCAAGTCACTGTGAGGATGAGGAAGGCCTCAAAGAAGAAGACTCCCGGGGCCTGATCTAGTCTGGGGTTCAGGGAAGGTCTCCCTGAGAAGCTGACATTTGAGCTGAAACCTAGGGATGGGGAGGTTAGCCTGGCACAGAAAGAGTGATCCCAGCAGAGAGACAGCATGTCCAAAAGCCCCCGGAGTAGGAATGAGCTTGGCATGTTTGAAGAACTGAGGGAAGGCCCAAATGTCTGAGGCACAGTGAGATGGAAGATATTGCTCAGAGGGCAGGAGGAGCTCCCAGGAATGACTCAGCAATGACCTGGGACTTTATTTCAAGAGCAAGAGGGAATTCGTATGGGGTGACTTGACAGGATCTGTGCTTTGGAAACATCACTCTGGCAGCTAGGGAGGAAACTGGAGGGGCCAGAGCCCACTTCCAGCACAGACCCACAAGGTAATGCAGTGCCCAGATACTACATGGGGTCTTACATCCCAGCAGTACCTTGAAATCAAACTCACAGTATCTCTTCAGGGAAACAGTCACGTTAGATGGGGGAAATAAGATGATGCATAGTCTCAAGTCAATTCAAGTCAACTTTTAATGGAAAATGAGTTTTAATGCCAAACTTGAGGGGAGAAATTGGGCTTTTGAAGCTTTTTTGATTTTAGAATTGTAAGGACTGTGGTGCCATATCAAGTAGAAGTGTTTGGACTGAGTCTTATTTCTTTTATCCATTAAACTAGGCCCATGGCTGGCCCACAGCTGAGAAGGCATGGAAATGATCTGGCCCTCGGGAGGGTGAGAGTGTATACTGGAGGGTCGAAGGCAGGCTTCATGCGAAAGCGGCATTTGGATTGAGTCTTAACAGATAGGTAAGGGTTCTGTTGCTGTTCTCAAAGAGACAGTCCTTGTGCCTGCCTCCGAGCCTCTACCACACCAAGCAGTTTATCCAGAATCTGTCTGATTTTCCCGTGCTCAGGGTCAGACATAGACTCAGGGGAACCAAATGAACAGATATAACAAAAAACCAGGGGAATAATATTCCGGAAAACTGAGGTCCTGAGGATGCAGAAATCTGCCTGAGGTCACATGGCATTCTAGGCTTCCTGCCACCACTGCCTTCCTGCTCTCTACCTCCCACAAAGAGGCCAGAGGGGCACAGAGTCGCAGACGCCGTGGACCCAGTCACCCCCAAACCAGCCCCACTTACTTGTAGGTCTGGTAGCTGTTTCGAACTTTGATGCCGCCCTTGATGAAGCTCACCATGTTCTCATCCTGCAGGAGGGAGAGATGCTAAGAGCCAGGCCTGGGTGGGGAGCCACAGGCTTGAGAAGAATCATACAGGGCTTTGGGCCCAGCCTGCCCCACCTCCGGCCCAGCCCTAAAAGGAGCCCTGGAGGGATGGGGTCAGGCATTGAGGTCAGGCCTCCCGAACCCCTGGGACCTGAGATAAGGGTTTCCTTGCCAAACAAGCCCTCCAGAATGTCCAGGGCTCACCCACAGCCTCCCAGTTACATATGCTAAGTGCCTGGAGAAGGACCTGGAGGAGGGACTCCCAGTGGTTAACAGTGCCTCCTCTAGGTGGACGAACCGTGGCAAAGCGAGAGGGAAGCTCATTTTTGGGGGGGAATTTTTCTGTTTTTTTACAACAAGCAGCTACTTACCACATCTGTAATTTAAAGCACCACTACCTACAGCCCAGATGTAGTTCCATTCCTGGGGGTATGCCCAAGAAGAACATGGGCTGCAGAAGTCACCTTCCAGAACATTCATGGCACCAGTGTTTATAGCCACCAGTAACTACAAACAACCCAAATGGCCTTCAGCAGGAGAATGGATAAACAGACTGCTGTATCCATAGAAGGGAATATTATACAACCGCATATGGTTGAGTGAGTAAAGAAAGCAAGTCCCACACAGCCTGAGGGCTTAAGAAGCTTGAAGCCAACTAAAACACAACAATATGCTGCTAAGACATGAATAGAAAGCTGAGAAAACTATTTTTAAAAAAATAAGGTGGGGGATGATCAACAAAACTCTAGGCAGTGGTTTCCCCATGAAGGGAGGCAGGGGACAGTGTGGGAAGGAGCCCAGGGGGCCAGGGGACTCACTAGCTATGTTCTGTCCTCTGGTTGGGTGGGGGAAACCATGGGCATTTATTTATTATGTGTAATAAAATACACAAATAAATAGAAGGCCACTCACAATGCAATTATTAACAGTAATCCTAATGAGAATTTAGGATTAATCTAATTCTAATTACCTGAGGTACAAAAAGAACAGAAGCTAACAAAAATAAATAGTATCCTAATAATAAAATCCATATATGCCTCTCTACCCCAATACCCACATTCACATGATGATTATATGTTCTAACCCAGGCTTTCTGGTGAGATCACCACTGTGTGGTGAGGACCACAGGCTCTGAGTCCAGCCCTGCATTCAAACCCCAGCTCTGGCTGTTGCTAATCAGGTGACCCTGTGAAAGTGGCTCCTCCCCTCTAACCCTCCCCTTCGCAGGCCGGTGAGGTGAAGATTTCTTAATATAAGTACATTTACGTAACGACCACCATGCATCCGGTGAAAGGTATATAAAACCACATAGTAAAATGGACACACAAAGCCTGGTATATCGTAGAATCAAGTTTGATCCATTCAAACTTGCTTGTTGAATGAGTCAACTGTAAAGCAGGTTTTGTGGGAATGCCTGTCACCCCACAGGGCCCTTAGGAAGAAAACAGCAGTCCTGAGGTGGGAGCACATCCTAGTAGTGGGTGGGAACACGTGTGCCCAGTGTGGAGGGGTAAAGCCCATCACCGCTGCCCATGAGCCTGGCCAGGGCTGGCAGGGCTGGGGTGACCAAGCCTCGGTCCTCTCCTAAACCACAAGGAGGCTGGCTGTGGCTGCTATAGCCACTTCCGGCTTGGAGATGGTGACTGATCTGAAATCCCCAGGCCGTTTGTACAAGGAGAGGGTTCCTACCTGCAGGAAGGTCAGAGCTGCTCTCTGCAGCAGGCACTCTGCATAGCAGACCTCAGCATGGATTTCCTCTGCAAGGAGAAAACCAAAGCCCGGAGGCCTCTGGGACTGTGGGCAGGCAGCATGGGCCAAATCCTCCCCACCCTACTTCCCAGAAGGCAAAAGGAGCCTGAGTCAGGCCCTCCCCCTCCACCCATGGAAATTGGGGGTGGGGGGGTGGTCCGGCTCCTCCAGAGCTTTTACCACTGTCCAGAATTAGCTCACACTTCCCCCACCTTCTAGCTGGTTCCCCAGCCCACCACCCAGGGTGTCAGTGCAGGGCCCTTAGCTTCCTTCTCTTGTTCTCCAAGCACCACTGCAGGTGCTGTGCGCCAGCCCCCTGTGGGGCCAGACAGGACAAAGTGCTGGGATGAATGGCTAAATGAAGATGATCCTGATCCATGGAAGCCCACAGGCTGTAGGAGAAGGGAAAGAGCAGCCCAGGGAGACAGGGGAGACTTCCAGAAGAAAGGACATTCTAGTCAGGCCCTCTGAGTTGAAAAGGAATGGAAGCATGAGGCAGGAAGAGCTTTCAAGGCAGAGGCCTGGGAGAAGCAAAACTCTAATGTTTGGGGACAGCCAAGCACAGAAGGTTGAAATGGGGTGAGTACGGAGAGACTTAGGAGACAGGTAAGATGAGAGGCAGCAGTCTGGTTGCAAAGGGCATGAGCGCTGGTGGACTACTGCAGATTTGGCCCATGGGCATGAGGGAGCTCTGGAAGGCATGAGGGAGGGCGTGGCATTGTCATATTCATTGTTTTGGGCTGGAAACTTCAAGGACTCTTAAGGGTGGTGAAGGCCATCTGCTCCTGAACGGAAGAGCCCCCCACTGCTCACCACTGGCCGCTACTACCGCCAGGTCTGCCACAGGGGTCACGGCACACAGGCCCTGGCGGCCCAGACCACCCCTTCCACTGCTTTCAGCTGTCTCATCCCAGTGGGCCAGGCTCCAAAACCACATTCCCCTCTGGGGCATCACTGTGATCATTAGGCCAGTAAACCTAAGTGCACACACAAATTCTAAGCCCACCCTGGCCTGAAGGGTAAAAGCGCGTGGACCCTGTGACAGTGTTTTCTTTCCCCAACTTCTGGATCCTCAGCAGGTAATGCCATCAGGTAAGTGAGTCCCCCACCCCACCACCACCCTGACCTCCCCTCCTCACCTGAGAGCAACTTCTCCAAAGGCCCCAGGTCTGACCCATGGGTGTCCCAGCACCAAAGCCAGGGCCTTGCCCCTTCATGAAACTAGGAGGTTAAGTGCCCCTTCCCACCCCTCCCTGGGCCTGGAACAGGGTGAGCATGGGTGAGAGGACACTCAGATGCCACACCTTCTGTGAACTGGTCCATCGTGGGGCGATGCACCAGGTTGCTAAAGGAGTCTGTTACAGAGGACTTCTTCCGGTGCCTGAAGAGGAAAGAGGGGCTTCAAGTCATTCAGTGAGGGTGAGCAAGGGGCCAGGGTGGGCTCAGATGCATCCACCATTCCCATGGGACTCCACACACACTGAACCGAGTCCAGGCTTTCTCACACACTTTCTTCTGCTGTTACCCCTACTTGGAGCCTCTCCCCTCCTTCCTCAGCCCCAGCCAGGTCCTCATCACCCCTTAGGACCGAGCTCCAGCATCGCCTTTTCCAGGAAACCTTTCCTACTCCTCTGGCAAGACCCCCACAGCCCCTGGAGCTTCCCTGCATCAGGCTGGGAGGTCACTGTTGGCACCTTCTCCCAGACCAGCCAGCTCCCCCAGGGGGCCAGGTCTGATGCTTCCCGGGGTGGCCTGTGCCCACACAACAGCTGGCCAAGGGCAAGTATGAGTGTGTGTCCAGTGAAAGACAATACTACCTGTACACGAACACTGAGGGTCCATTCAGTCATTCTCTCGTTCAAACAGTTTCTGTGTACTGAACACCCATCATGCACCAGGTCCTGTGACCAGTGACCTCATTCGGCCCCCACAAAGGCCCTCTCTTTATACCTATTTTACATATGAAGAAAGTTGAATCCAGATAGACTTGCCCAAGATCAAAGAGCTATTACCTGACAGAGCCAGAATTTGTCTCCATGAAATCAGGCCTGGCCCCCAGAAGCTGCTTAGAGACTGGCTCAGACAACAGGGCTCCTGAGGCAGAACTGAGGGGACAGCTCCTAGCACTTGGGGACACATCTTCTTAGCCAGAAGGAGCATCATTAATAGTGGCATTTGAGGCACTGGGATAGGCCAAGGTAACAGAAGGACGGCCCTCACAACACCTCATCCCTGCCCGCCCCACAGCCCTGACCTCTGACATAGCGTCTGTGCCTCCTTCATCATGTTGCCAGCCAGCACGATGTCCTGAGGGTCAAAAGTCATCATGGCCTGCATCTCCAGGATGGTGGCATATGTCAGCGAGTGGTACATGCTCTCCTTGGTTCTGCCAGAGAGAAGGGACATGAGAGCACCCACTCCCAGAACTCCAGAGGTAGCCGGCCTGTGTTGGTCACCACCACTACCTCCCGACTGGGCATGGTGGGGAAATAGGGATCCGAGGATGAAAGAGACTCTCCCAAGGTCTGACCCTTCCACTGCTGCTCAAAAGGCCTCAGACCCCACTTCCTCTCCTTCTGAATGGCACCAAGTGACTTTCCAACTCTGAGCCTTAGTTTCTCATCTGTTCTACAGGGACGGCAGCAGCAAGGCTGTGGTGAGGAATCAAGAAGGGCTTTAGCAGCAGGTTGGCCTGAGGCCGTGCCCCCTTTCCCCCACCCCGGCCCAGGGCCTGCCTCTCGCCTTCTGCCCCACCTCCCAGAGCACAGCCCAAATCCCTTCTCTCCTCAAGCTCTCCTTTCCTGCCCTGCCCTCGTTCCTTGTTCCCTGGGGCCCACAGGCCGCACCCCCTCCTGCCTCTCCCTATCCCATCATCTGACCACACCACTGACTGCCTAACTCCTCCCATGGCTTTCAAGTCCAATGGGGTAATGCTCTGGCCCAAGGCTCCATACAGCACAGGTCCTGCCCACCTTTCCAACCCAACCCTCTAGTCACTTCTGCCCCAAAGCCTGGTCAACATTCCAGACTGTTTCCCTTGCCACACTGAGACACACGTGCTCTCAAGAAATTCCTACCCTTTCCCTCCTCTTGGCCTTATGTGCATGCTGTTCCTGCAACCTGAAATGCTCTTTCCTCGCCCCCACACCCCGACTCATCTGTCAAGGCCCTCAAACGCCTCCAGGGCCCCTGGGCATTGGGTCTCCCTCCTCAGGGAGCATGTATCTATAATGAGGCATAGGTCATACTGAGTTTATATCAGCAGAGGCTCAGCTCTCCTCTCAGACTGAACTGCGGGTACCTCAAGGACAGAGCTTATATGGAAGGCATCTCTGTCCTCAGCACCAGTGCGACAGGGCCTAGTGAACCAGCCTTGGGAAACCTTTTGCTCCTGCCATCCTGCTTCTCCACAGCCCAGACCTCTCAACCGAAAAGTATATGGTAGAAGATGGGGGGCGGGGAGTGGCATTTAGTCTAACAAATGGAAAGAGAACCAGGCAAGGAGAAAAATGCAGGCCCCTGTCTGCGCTTGGGAAAGTCGCAATATGTCTGGGTCTTGATTTATACTTCTGGAAAATGGGGCAAGAACACTGGCCTGCCCAGGTTCCTATGGGACTGGCTGGGGATTACTCCTGCTTGTTGGCACAGTAGGTGCCACAGCAATTTTCTCTCCCTTCATTACACCCCCTCGTTAATTATTTATAAAATTCCTCAGTGCAGGGCCTATGCTGGGAACTTCAGGGGAAAGAGATGACTAAGGTTTATAAAGTGTTCTATTGTAAAATCATGCGACTTTATCTATTTTCATGTCTTTCTCATTCATAAAGCTCTGTAAAATTAAAAACCCTCTGTAAATTAAGTGTTTTTTTAACTTCTGGGTGACCGACCCCCCTCCCAGGTGATATTATCCTGGGGAGTCAAAGGTTTTTAAAGGAAACCAAAGGCTGGTCCACCCCTTACCAGTCCTGGCAGCTGTCAGGATACCTCCCAGATCTTTGCTAGAAATGCTAACCTGAAGGCCGTGGCTTGTGGAAAGGAGGCCACAGCCTGAAGTGGGGACAGAACTCAGGCTACAGAGTCCCCGAAATACAGGTTGAATCTTGGCTTTGCCAGTGACCAGCTGTGGATCCTGGTGAATCTTAAACCTCTCTGAGCCTCAAGTTTCTCCTCTGTAAAATGGATATAATGAGGGCCACATCACTGATGCTCAATAAATGTGAGTTTTTCTGTATCTGCTGGGGTCAAGAGTCACTGCCCTGGACAGAAACTCTCTCCTTCAGGAGATGTTTCCCTGGCCTTACTCAGAACCACTCCCACCCCCCAGATAATCCCTTCCTACTCCAGGCCTCCCCAGTTCTCAAGCCTCTTCCCATCTCCTCCCGGTGAGGCTACCTCAGTCTGGTGCTGGGTCCAGGAGGGACAGCCCCACCTGGGGAGCTGGCGGGCAAAGTGGAATTTCTCGTTTGAGGCCTAATGTCAAAACATGCACCTACGGCTGGGAATCCTGGCTCCTCCCCAGCCCACCCCTGGAAGCCCCTCAGCTGTGCCCTGGACTGAGATTTGTGGTACAGGCAAACATGCGGGATTCTGCAGGTTTCGTTCCAGACCACTGCAATAAAGCCAATACTGCAGTGAAGCAAGTGAAATGAATTTTTGGTTTCCCTGTGCACACAGAAGTTTAATTAAGCCTGCAATAGCATTATGTCGAGAATGTGTAACGGCATGATGTCTAAAAAAATACATACCTTAATCAAAAAATACTTTATTGCTATAAAACGCCAACCAGCATCTGACATTTCAGCGAGCTGTAATATTTTTGCTAGTGAAGGATCTTGCCTTCTGACGGATGAGGGTGGTGGTTGTAGAAGGATGGGTTAGTTGTGGCAATTTCTTTCTTTTTCTTTTTTTTTTTCAAAGATTATTTATTGATTTGTCCGAGAAAGAGAGAGAGAGAGCACAAGCAAGGAGAGCAGAAAGCAGAGGGAGAAGCAGGCTCCCCGCTGAGCAAGGAGCCCAATGCGGGACTTGATCCCAGGACCCCGGGATCATGACCTGAGCCGAAGGTAGTGGCTTAACTGACTGAGCCACACAGGCATCCCGGTTTACTGAATTTTTTAAGCCCACTGTTGAGACCCACTGATCAGAAAAAAAGATTCCTTTCAATTACTACTGGTCACTGACAGTGCCCCTGGTCACCCACAAGCTCTCCTGGAGATGGGCGATGAGGTGAATGTTGTTTTCATGCCCGCTAACACCACGTTCATTCTGTGCCCCATGATTTAACAAGTAATTTCGACTTTAAAGTCATATCACTTAAGAAACCTAATTCATAAGGCCATAGCTGCCACAGAGAGTGATTCCTCTGATGGAAAGTAAATTGAAAAACCCTAGAAAGTATTCACCAAACTAGATGCCAGTAAGAACTTTGTGATTCATGGGAAGAGGTCAAAGTATCAACATGAGCAGGAGTTTGGGAGAAACTGATTCCAGCCCTCATGGATGACTTGGAGGGATTCAAGACTTCAGGAGAGGAAGGACTTGCAGATGGGGTGGAAGGAGCAAGAGAACTGGAAGTGGAGCCTGAAGGTGGGACTGCGTGGCTGTCCTCTCAGGATAAAACTTGAGAGGGTGAGGAGTTGCATCTAATGGATGAGAAAAGAAGGTGGTTCCTTTTCTTTTTTTAAAGATTTCATTTATTTATTAGAGAGAGAGAGCACACGAAAGGGAGAGCATGAGAGAGAGAGAGCGAGAGAGCGAGTGCACAAGCAGGGAGAGCAGCAGGCAGAGGGAGAGGGAAAAGCAGACTTCTGACTGAGCAGGGAGCCCAATGCGGGATTTGATCCCAGGACCCTGGAGATCATGACCTGAGCCGAAGACAGACACTTAACCCACTGAGCCACCCAGCGCCCCAGAGAAGGTGGTTTCTTGAGATGGAATCCACTCCTGGTGAAGATGCTGAAATGACAACAAAGGATTAGCAATATTACATAAACTTAGTTGATAAAGCAGCAACAGCATGTGAGAAGATTGACTTCAGGGGCGCATGGATGGCTCAGTCGGTTAAGCTGCTGCCTTTGGCTCAGGTCATGATCCTGGGGTCCTGGGATCGAGTCCCACATTGGGCTCCTTGCTCAGTGGGGAGCCTGCTTCTCCCTCTGCCTTCTGCTCTCCCTGCTTGTGCGCTCTCTCTCTCTGACAAATAAATAAACAAAACCTTAAAAAAAATTCAGTAAACCACGTTGTAAACCGACATGCTTTGTTGTTCAACTTAAAGAGCACAGGAAGAATAGATTTAGCGTAATTCTTAAGAGCCCCAGAACTTTCAGGATGCTAAAGCAGCACAGGCTTCACCTTGAAGTCAACAGCTGCATTAGCTCCTAACATGAGTCAGCCCGCCCTTTGAGGCTTTGAGGCCAGGCGCTGACTCCTCTGCCGCTGTGCACGTCTCACACGGCATCTTCCCCGACAGAAGGCTGCTCCGTCTACACTGAACATCTGTTGTTCAGTGCATCCACCTTCACGAATGATCCGAGCCGGAGCTTCCGGACCACCTGCTGCGGCGTCTACACCGGCGCTAGCTGCTTCACCCTGCACTTCTACGTTATGGAGGCGGCTTCTTTCCCTAAACCTCACGAACCCACCTCTGCTGCTTCCAACCTTCCTTCTGCAGCTTCCTCACCTCCCTCAGCCTTCACAGAATGGAGGAGAGCTCGGGCCTTGCTCGGGGTCAGGCCTGCCTTAAGGGAATGTGGTGGCTGGTTTGCTCTTCTATCCAGGCCGCTCACACACTCTCCACGTCGGCAATAAGGCTGTTCCACCTTCTTATCATCCGTGTGTCCCCTGGAGCAGCGCTCTCAGTTTCCGGCAGGAACTCGTCCTTCGCTTTTGCAACTTGGCTGTTTGGTGCAGGAGGCTTCACTGTCTTGGCTTTCGACATCCTTCCTCACTAAGCTTGGTCGTCTCTAGCTTTTGATTTAAAGGGAGAGATGAGCAGTTCTTCTCACCACAACGCTCAGGGGCCACAGTAGGGTTATTAATTGGCCTAATTTCAATATTGTTGTCTCTCAGGGAATAGGGAGGCCCAAGGAGAAGGAGGGTGGGGGGGAACGGCTGGTCAGTGGACCAGTCAGAACGCACATAACATTTATCGATTAAGTTCATTGTCTTATATGGTGGTGGCCCAAAACAATTACGATAGTCACACCAAAGGTCAGTGATCACAAATCACCATAATAAATAGAATAATAATGAGAAAGTTTGAAATATTGCAAGATATTACCAGAATGTGACACAGACACAAAGTGAGTAAATGCTGTTGGAAAAATGGTGCCAAGACTTGCTTGATGCAGAGTTGCCACAAACCTTCCATTTGTAACAAATGCAGTATCCGTGAAGTGCAATGTGGTATTCCCAAACCTCAGACACTCCAAGTTTAGTTTACAGTCCATAAGTTCTTGTTGGCATATAGAGTCCTGACCCCTGAGAGTAAGAGCGCCCTCACCTCTGAGGGAAATCCAGCTCCAGGAGATAATGTCCACTGGGGTCCCACCTTCTAGGCCCAGGCCAGCTGTCAAATTGGGGAACCAGCAGAAGAGCAAGATGTTGGGACCTGGGATTCCTTGGCCATGAGGAGGTCAGCTAAGCTTAGTGGCCTCTAGTCCTTCCCTCCTCTACCCACAGCAAAGTAAAATGAACTGGAAGCTACTCAAAGAAGTGACAAACACAGAAAATAAATGCCCAGGCATTTGGGGTGATGAGGGGTGGAACCTGATGAGCCCATTACTTCCTGAGGACAAAGTATGGGGAACAATTAAATGAGACACTGTATGCACAATGCAGAATAATGAATGAAACTGGACCCCAACATCTTTTGAAGCTTCAGTGGCTATAAATGGGGAGGGGAGGCCATTTTTTTTTTAGCAAGAATTATTTTCTCTTAGACCAGTGGTTCTTAAGAAAGATGGGGAGATATTTTTCCTCCCCCAACCCCAACCCCCAGTATCTGGCAATTTCTTGAAACATTTTTTGCTTGTCAAAATGGGGATGTAGGTGGGGAATGTGTTAACATCTACTGTTTGAAGAGAACTCTCTTAAACTGAAAAAGAAAGGAAAATTTCTTTTCTGGAATGGAGCAGGGGCTTAGATGAGGGGCAGCTTCACTGCCTTAAGTATGACATTAAAAGGTAGCCTCATGGAAAGACTGGTCTCTCCCTAGTGCCTCTTTTCATTCAGGGCAAGCATTTCCTCTTTGGGGCCTGAATTGTCTGGCCCGAGTTATGGAACTTCTGGTAGAGTGTCCTCTTGAGATGAGGGAGGGTAAGGCAGCCCTTCAACACAAGAGGGCTGTGGGGAGAGGGTGAGGAAGGTGTGAGGGGAGGTGGCAGGGAGGAACCTGCATAGGGACAGGTAACGACCAGAAGGGAAGTGGAGCTGGGGAGTCTTTGAAAAATACTGGGAGGGAGGAGTGCCTGGGTGGCTCAGGTCATGATCCCAGGGTCCTGGGATCGAGTCCCGCGGGGGAGCCTGCTTCTCCCTCTGCCTGTTGCTCCCCCTGCTTGTGCACTCACGTGCACTCACTCTCTCTCTGACAAATAAATAAAATCTAAAAAAAAAAACAAAACTGAAAAAAGTGATAAAGGAAGAGTAGTATAACCATATTGTTTAGAAAGAAGGCAGTAAACACTGGAAGAAATGGATAAATGATTAACCAACATTATTACCCTGAAGGGCTTGAGTAAAGGCAACTCAAATCTTTAGTGCTCTGGAGAAAAATGAGGAAAAGCAGCTGTTGTTAGAGCTGACAGGGGAGAAACCCCGAGTGGATTCAGTGGGAACAAGAAACCAAAGTGGAAGAGGCCACAAGAACCTAAAAGGAAGGAAGTCACAATGACCTTGGGGAAGGCCTGGCTGCTCAGGGTTATAGAATGGGGAGCCTGAGCCCCTACTTTTATGGGTCTCTTGGAAGGTCATAGTGACTCAGAAGGCGGAAGGCAGTCAGTTACACTGGGTTCCTCTTATATAAGACCTCTGGTTCTCCATGACCAGACACCGCCCCACCCCCCTCCCTCCACTACATGTGGGCTCTAGAGTATGCTCTTGCACATGCACAGATACAAACACACACACACACACACACACACACACACACACACACACACACCCCAGACCCCCCACCCACAACCTAGGTATAAGCCTCACCTGGGCTTGAGGTAGCTGAGTGCTTCTGAGAACTGGTTGGTGAGGAAGAGGTCCAGGGCGATCATGCACTGGTCCAGGGCCTCATGGAGGCTGCTCACAGAAGTCCTGCTGGGAGAGACAGCAAGTGACCAAAAGACCTCAAACCCCCTCCAGGCTGGAACCGAGCCCCAAAAGGCCCATGCGACCTCCCTGTGGGCCTTGGGTGCCTTCCAGGCTGCCCATTCTGTACTGGGACACAAAGACAATTTGGACCCACTTCTAAGTGTTCCCAAAGGTGGGAGGACAGCAGAATGAGGGCGTCATCTGAGATCTGGTTGAGGGGGTTGGGGGGGAGCAGAGGATGGAGGGCAAGGAAGCCTGAGGAACAAATTTATCTTACCCCTCACAAGAGTAAAGGGAGTCTTTATGGCCCTTCTGACCCATCGGGATTTTCTGCTCCCACAGGGGGGCACAGCCCACCCACTAAATCCAGCTTCAGTCCTTTTTCTCCTCCTTCTTCTTCAGGACTTCTCCTGCCCACCTTGGGCCTGCACTCTAGAACCCCAGAAACACTGTCACAATGGGCTATAGTGTACAGCAGACTGTACGGCCTGTCCAGGGCCCTTTATCCTCAAGGATCACTTTCCCAATGGCATTTCAGTGGACCCTACCATCTTCTAGTCCTTACACTTCTCTATAGCTTTTATCACTCATATACACACAAACACACTCTTTTATTTGTATGTATGTATGTATGTATGTATTTATTTTTACTTATGTTGTGCTTATTATCTGTCTTCCTCCACTAAAAGTAAGCTTCCCGAGGGCAGGGATCCTTGTTTTGTTCATTGCTGTATCCCTAGCATCTAGTATCTGGTACAAAGTGGGCTTTTGATAAGTATCTGTTAAGTGAATGAAAAAAAAAAAAAAAAAAGAACGAGGAGTCTCAGATTAGGAAAACAAATCCTTGGCCTTTCTGGGTCTCAGCTTCCCCATCTGAAAAATGAGAAATTAAAGTAGGATATCCCAAAAATCCTCTTTTGAGGATGGTCTTGAGGATGTCTCTTCTCAAGGTGTTTCTTTTGAGAGAAGGTTCCAAAAGATGCCTTGATGACCTGACTGAAGGGAGATCCTTTCCCCCAAAAGCTAGTTGAGAGAGTCCCTTTCCACCAGGTAAATGTCTACACACACCTTGGGGCCCAGCTTTGATGTCTCTTCTTCCATGCAGATGCAGAAGCAGATCATCCCGGCAAATCAAAACACGAGTCTTGTTCAAAACTGAACTCTTGTTCACTTTCCCAAAGCCGTTCTCCCCCAGTGTTTGCCATCTTAATAAATGACACTCCTCTACCCAGTTTCTCAAGCCAGAAATCTGATAGCCAGCCCTGATACATCCCTTTCCCGGGCTGCTCTGCTACCCCCTCCCTGAGCTCTGTCAGTTCTGCCTCCCAAACATCACTTAACTCACCCCCTTCTGAGCCCGGTCTGCTCCAGTGCGCCGACCTCCACCCAGGTCTGATGGAAGACCAGCCTTTCCACTCTCAGCCCTCCTACCCCTTCTCTCTTCTTCACTGTTGGACCATTTGCTCAGTATTTCAAGTCTCTTAATGCTCTTCTTTGCCATCTCTTTGACTCTGTGACATTCTGAGCAATTTTTTCAGAACCTCCATCTCTTGAGGTGTGTCTGATCCGCTACTTTTCCTGAGTTTTTAATTTCAATGATTATCTTTCACATTTCCAAAAATTCCACTTGCTTCCTCTTCAGACACATTCGGTCGTCTGGGGCGGTATTTAGTTCCCTGCTTATTGTTTCAAGTCCATCTTTGATTTCTTTACATGTTTATAAAATAGTTCTTTTCTAGATCTCATAATTCCAGCATCTTAGATGCTCAGGGAAACAAATTCTGTTGTTTCTTGATTTGGGTGTCTATTGCTCACAGTGACTTGTCTCCTTGTGTGTTCTGTAATTTTACCAGGAGCTCCTATTTGGCTGATCCCAAAGGGATCTTAGGAAAAGGATCTATTCCTCCAGAGAGGATTTTCACATACTTTGGCCAAATTCCCTGGGGTGCTACCATCTGATGATACTTAAGTTACTTTTTTGGGTTGGTATTTCCAGGACCACAAAGGGAGTTATGTCTTCAAACCCACAATTTGTGTGAGGGCAGATTCGTATTTATAATTTTCTCCACCAGACCTGTCATCCCCCTTTTTGGGAAGGGTGGCTATTTCTTTCCAGCCAGCGACTCTATTTGCTGAGGGGGTAGCCCTTTGAAGGTCCCAGATGGTGGTGGTGGTAGGGGGACTAGGTTTCAACTCCTCACACAGTCACTGGGTAGGCCTAAGTCCTTACTTATCATCCCTTGAGTGGTCGTTAAAACTCGAGGTTCTGGATTTCTGGAATTTGTCAATACCTTCATCTCATTTATCGGCTTGATTTCAGCTTCCTTTCTATTCTTGGCTTGAGAGAATTTCTCTTACTTCTGTGGGAGTTCAGGAATGTATTTTAAAGGATGTTTGGAGTCACCCATACAGCCTCTTGGTAGTTTTTATAAGGGAGAATGCTGGAAGCATTATTCCCTCTAACCCATCCTTCTCACAATAGCCAAAGTTATCTGTTTAAAACCCAAATCTGACCATGTCACTTCTGAACTTGAAATCTTCACTGGCTTCCTATTACTCTTAGGATAAAGACCAAATTTCTTTCTATGGCCGAAAAGGCCCCAACAGAAGCAGTCCCTGTCCCTCTCTTCATGAGATAGGCACAGTGTCTTCCTTTGTGTCCAGGGCTTAGCCTAGTGACTGGCGTTCAGTCTGCCCATTCTGTTGGATAAATGGGTAAGGAGGCAGTGAGCACCTACCTCTCTGGGCCTTCTCACCTTGAACCCTCACGAAGCCCATGAGGTAGGATTATTATCGCCACTACAGATGAGGCACGGAGGAGAGGTGACCAGGCCAAGATCACATGGCCAAGCATGGGTTCTAACCAAGTTTCTGCCTGAGCCAGTGCCCATCCACCAGCTCAGCCCTCAGAAGTCAAGTTCATTGTCCTGGCTTATGACCATCTCCAAACAACTCCAGAGCCAAGAGCCTACCTCCCATTTCTGCATATACCCTACCACCACCACCACCTCTGCCTCCCATCAAGAAAGACGTTCTGCCTGCTTGCTCTATGTGGAGAGAAAGACAGATGGACAAACAGCACAGAGGTGCATTCCCTCTCTTGACTGCCCCAGTACCTCTTCTGCTCAAGTGCTGTGACGTGGGCCTGAGGTGATGTCTCCAGACTGGCGCTGCTTTGGGGTGGCTCTGGGGCTGATTTCCTCCAACATTTCCTCCTACAAACACCCACTAATCTCTGGTTCTGACCCAAACCTGGCCCTGTCCTTGAAGAGTTCACAGTCTACAGAAGTGACAGATGCAGGCAGAGGCAATGACAACCAGAACCATCAGGGCTGCAATCATGAGGATCAATGAAGGCTAAGGAGGCCCAGAAATGGGGCACTTTCTGGAAAGCTTTCTGGAAAAGATGGCACTGAACTGAGGACAAGATGGAGAAAGAAGTCCAAGAAGAGGAAAAATGCTGAGCAAGGAGCTAGAGTCATGATACCATAGTGACAAAGAGGCACAAGCCGTAGGGGAAGGTGGCAAGATAGGCTCTGGAAAGCCTGCTAAGTGCAGGGGTGAGGTGCCGGTGTCCTGGCTGGCTGGGGACATTGGGCCCATTTGACTTAATGAAGGCATGAATAACCACCCCTTCATCACAGGAGACTATCACTTCAAGTTCTAAACCGATCACTTCATTCAATCCTCCCACCAGCCCAGAGGCAGACAATGCTTATCTGCAACTAACAGATAAGGAGATAAACATAATACAAAAAGGAACCTAGGGAGAAGGCAGAAAGGTTTCCACAAAAAAGCCAGTTTGCCAAACCTTTTTCCTCCCCTGGCTGTGAGTGCAGTCTCCACTTCTCTGCAAGCTGTCCCGTGCCTTCAAGGCCCTTCTGCTCCAAGCCACCTTGACAGCCCAGGTTAATACATTATTGAGCTCCTGAGGGGTTGATGGTGGCCTTTCCACTGTTCCTTGAAGAACCCGAGGCCCAGAGGTGCCGCTGAGCTGGATGGAGCGTGGGGCAGGGCTGGTGACCAATGCCAGGAGCTTTGGCATCTTAGGGGAGGGAGGCTTGAAGCTGGAGTGAGAAGGCAGCTGGAGGGGGTGAGGGGGTGTCGGGCAGCCTGGAGTCATTCCACTCTCCCCTTCCCTCCCCCTTCCCCGCTTCAGTCTTTCTGGAAGACATCTGATGCGGAGAGCTGGATAAAGCAGGGGGACCTCTCCCTTCCCACTGGGGCAGTCAAGGAAGCAGTGCAAAGAGGTCACTCAGGGAGCAGACTGGAGCCAGAGCTGGCTTTTCCCCCCTGCTTCACCATTCAGGAAGAGCTCTGTCTGGGGTGTGGGGAGGGGATCTGTCCATGGGGACCTATCCCAAAGTGACCTCTCTAAATTGCACACAGGATTGTGACTCTCCTTCCAGAGAAGCCCCCCTTAGCTGTGAATAAAGTGAGTATGATGTGGCTTGGACTGATGTGACATGCCTCGGGCAAGGTGACCTTAAGAATTTTGAAAGCGGATAACCCTGGTCCCAAACTGCAGCTCAGCAACCACTTGTTAGAGACACTTGGGAAGGTTCTTTAGCCTCTATGAGCCTCAGTGTCCTCGTCAATAAGAGGACAAGACTGTTGTCTTGTCCTCTTATTGGACAACAACAAGAATGCTGTTACGAGAATGGCAGTTCCTACCTCCTCAGTTGTTGAGAAGAATGACTGAGACGATGCAAAGCACAGTAAGAAGTCCTCAGGAAATGTTAGCCAGTGTTACTTTCTTTCCTACAAGAATGTGTTTCCATTCTCTATGAGTATGTGTTTCCATCATGTCTGGAGCAAAACTGCTTTCATAAGAAAATTAAATAACTTTAAAACATTGAGTGTACATACTCTATGACCCAGCAATTCCACTCCTATGGGAGTATCTAAGAAGAAAACTCACATATGCACAAAGGACAACCTTATGAGAATATCTACTATTCAAATAGCAAGACTCTGGGAACCACCTCAATGTCCATCAAGAAGGCCGATAAATAAATGGGGGATCCTACATCAGGTGGTACATCACACATCAGCGAAAACGGGGACCAAAGCTGCAAGGATTAAGAAGGCTACATATCAGAAACCTGAAGCTCAGTGAGAAAAAGCAAGTTGTGGAATGACTCATTCTGGGTGACTCCATTTATGTAAAAATTTTAAAGTCAGAACAAGCTACATTTTCTTAGACTTATACACACTCAGCGAAAGAATAAAAACATAGAATGGCAAAACCAATGATACTGTAAAAGTGTTGTAGGATGACAGATGGTAGCTACATGTGGGGAGCACAGCATAATATAGAGAAGTTGAATCACTATGCTATACACCTGAAACTAATGTAACACTGTGTGTCAACTATACTCAAATAAAATTTAAAAACTAAAAATGCAAATGCCAAAATCAAAATTCAGGATGGCAATTATCTCTGGAGAGGGAAGTGAGGAGGGTCCACAGAGGCTTCAAAAGTCTCTGCTATAATTTCTTTCTTTTTTTTTTTTTAAAGATTTTATTTATTTATTTGACAGAGAGAGATCACAAGTAGGCAGAGAGGGAGGCAGAGAGAGAGGAAGGGAAGCAGGCTCCCTGCTGAGCAGAGAGCCCGACCCGGGACTCGATCCCAGGACCCTAAGATCATGACCTGAGCCGAAGGCAGCGGCTTAACCCACTGAGCCACCCAGGCGCCCCTATAATTTATTTCTTAACAGGAAGAATATGAAATAAGTGGGCACAATATTAACATCTGAAAAAGCTGGGTGGCAAGGGCATGGGGTTCATTTTATTACCTGCTATATTTTTCTGAAGGCTTAAAATATTTCATAATTTTTTAAGTGGTGGAGATTTAAAGTTTGGTTTGTTTACCACTGATCCACAAATACTGGGTTGGGCCCAGAGCAGGCCTTGGGAGTGTTTGCTGAGTGACTGAGTACCTATTGTGAAGGCAGAACTGCTTTGCCTCTGCTCTGCTCAGACCCCACCAGGGTGGCACTGACCAGGGACAGGAGCAGATGGACCCGTGTGGCCTCAAAGAAGAGGGGGACCTGGAGGGCATGCAGTGGGGCGGGTATGGTTCAGTATGAGGACGTGTGAGGAAGATCCACCAGTGCTGGAAGACTGAGCTTGCTACCCTAGAGGTCCATGGAGGGACCAGAGGAGCCAGCAGAGGAGCCTGGACTCAGGCAGATATATAAGTGTGCAAGGAAGAGGGATGGATGTGGCTTCTAGCTTGGGAGTCCAGGATTCTCTGATAGGTGCCCTGTTCCATGCCTGCTTTCTCTCCTGGAAGCTTCTTTCCTAGGCACACTAGGGTGGTGCTTAGTCAGGGCTGGGCAGAAGGGACCTAACAGGCTAGAGATTTACAGACTTCAGCTCAGAGCAGGAAGGGAGCAGCCATGCCTGGCCTCCCTGTATTTTCCAAAGGAGGGACCGGAATTCCAGGGAGGATAAAGGATATGGCCCAAATCATATAACAAACGTGGTCAGGAAAAACTCACCAGGCAACCGTCCCCCAGGCTGGAGTGTCCCTCGGTGACCCAACTTCTAAGCTTTCACCCAGGATGCACACACAGGTGCTGTGGAGGCCTCCAGCTAAGGCTGGCACCCGCTCCCATCACCTCCCTGCTCACATGTTAGCTCTGAGGCCCTTGGCAAATATTGTCCCTGGTGGTGAGGCTCCAGGTAGGGCAGGCACACCTCCAGGCTCACCTGAGCCAGATCTCCACCCAGCAGCTTCCCAGCATGGCCCTCAGGAGTTGGCCCCTACTCACCTGCGCCCAGGAAAGGGCCAGCTGCTCCAGGTCTCCCAGCTGTTAGCAGCTATCACTGCTACAGGGGCAGTATAGGGATTCTACAGGGTTCCTCAGTGGGGTGGGGAAGAGCAGGAGAGCCATATTGGAAGTGACAACACCCACCTTTACTACCCCAGTTCCTGCTGCGCCCAATGGGCACAGCTGATTCATATCTTAGCCTTTAACTCCTTCAGACATCCCCGAAGATGGGGCAGTATGGCATGCGGGTGGGGGCTCCAGCATCAGCGAGAGCTGAGTTCAAATTCCAGGCCCACCGCTCACCTCCTGGGTAACGGAAGGCAAGTCACTTAAGAGCTATGCCTCAATTTCCTCAACTGTAACGGAGGTGAAAACAACAGAGCCCACCACAGGTGTAAACGCCACGAGGAGAGGAAGGCGGCTCTGACGTGGCCGTTACTACAGCTCCATGAGAAAGTTGGGACCCAGAAGGGAGCGACAGCCCCAGGATCCCCGGCGCCTCTACTTCCCTCGCGCGAGCGTCCACAACCCCCTCCCTGCTCACCGGCGGCAGCGGCTCCCGGAGGCCGGGCGGAGCGCCGGGCGGGGCGTGGGGGGCGGGTGGGAGCCGCAGTGCGGGCCGCCAGCCGGAGGCGCGGGGGAGACCGGGCCCCGCGCCCGCCCCACCCCCCAACCCGGGCCCAGGGCCGCTCCAGCCGCGCACTTACCCCGCGGCCAGGGAGTCCGCGGCGTCCGCCGAGCTCATCGCGGAGAGGGGCGGGCAGCGTGCCCCCGCAGGACACCAGCCGCGGCCCAGGTGCTGCCGCCGGAACCCCGAGCCGGGTGCTGTGCCGCCGAGCCGCAGACGCCGCGGCCGGGGAGGGGCGCGCCGGGGGCGGGGAAGGCGGCGGGGCCGGGCCGGGCCGGGCCGGGCCTCGGTCTGCTTGCCCGCGCAGTGGGGCCGCGGCCGCCGCCTGTCTGCGGCCGACTGGAGGAGGCTGGGGCTGGGTGGGGGGCGGCCGCGGGATGCGCCCCCACCCTCAGCTCTCAGACGTGAGAGGCCCTGGCACCCACGGTCCGCCGGGCCCATGCCGAGTGTCCTCGCTGCGCAGCCCCCAGGGGCCGGAGCTCGCTCCTTCCTCACACAGCCCCACGTATCTGTGGCTAGAAAGTTCTCTTAGACCTGAGGTCCATCTCCCAGTCATCTCTCCCTTCCCCCACCCCAGATCCCGCCTCGCAGCGGCCCCCACCTGAGCCCTTCGTCATCCTACTGCATTGGCGGGGGGCATTCATGCTGAGAAAGACACAGCCTCCAGAGTCAGGCTTGGGTTTTAATACTCCCCTTTGCCCACTGCCGCACTGTGCGCGCAGCACACGAGAAAGCGGAAAATAACGTGGTTTAGCACCCACTGCTAGCCCGGGGTTCACAACGGTCTTCTCAAATCATCCCCAGAGCTGCCATTTTACAGAGATGGGGCACAGAGTCTATGTGACTTGCTCAAGTTAACTCACCTAATAAATGGCAAGTCCTGATTGGAACTGGCCCTCCTGACTCCAGGGTGGACACTCTTGTCTCTCTTCCCCCCTTGGTCCCATTCTCTCTTGAGTCCCCAACCCCTATACGGGGTCATCCAGAACACTCCTCAAATGCTCACTGTATGCATAGCCCTAAGGTACAAGTCTAGGGCCAGGGCTGACGCCCACCTGGTGTTCTGGCACAAAGAGTCACTGGTCTGTGAGGAGTTAACCAGCCACCACTTCCAGGCCCCAGATGCTCTTAATCATGACTCATCAGAGCACGTGGCTGCCATTAGAACTGTCCCTTTACAAAGGCAGAGGATAGAAGGAGGAGGGACTCCAGCGCCCCTGGAGCAACCCTTAGCTCCAGGATGTCAGAAGAGGAAGCAAGAGGAGCCTGGTAGAGGAAGGCCTCTTAGGAAGAGGGCTGCAGACTGGCTCCTGGGAGAGCCAGGTAGACTGAGCCTGGTGGCAGAGGGGAGAGGTTTAGAAGATTCCTGTTTAAATCCAGACAGGCTGTCTGGAAAGGTAGTGAGTTCTTATCCTGCCCATATGTGAACAGAGGCTAGATGTTCACTGGCAAGGATCATCCTATGTCTGGGATTCTCAGACATGAGCACAGAAAAGGTAATTAACTACAAGGAGTGGGCTATGATGAGATCTACTGTCATCTAGAGGACTCCAGATAAGAAAGAATGCAACATAGACTGGAGGGGTGGGGAGAGGGCTTCCTGGAGAAGGTGGGCACAGAGTTAAGCCTTGAAATTTATATTGTTTATACACAATAAAGTCGTGGAAAGGGTGTACCAGATGGGAGAACAGCATGGGTGAAAGCAGCATGGGGTGGGCAGAGGCACACCCATGTCCGCTGGCGTTTGTGAGGCTGGTGAGACCAGCAATGTGTATGAAGAGGAGCCTTGGTAATGAGGCTGGGGCACCCTATTGCAACCCATGCCCATCTCTGGGCATTTGTACTAGCTCATCCCTCTGCCTGGGACACACCTTCCTCCCTTATCACTTATTATTCATTCGTTTAATCAGGGTTCAATCCAGAAGCTTAAAATTGGAAGCCTTTTTTTTTTTTTTTTCCGAAAAAAGAATACAAATCTACCAATAGAAACTGCCAGAGTCCTCCCAGAGCCATGGAAAGGGCCAGGTGAGTGAGCACTTCTGAAGTTTTATGCTATGTTAGATACAGGTAAATCTCCATTGGATTTGACCAACATTTATTAAGAGCCTGATATAGGCCCAAACTACTACTCGCCCCACAGGTTTCAGTTCAGGCAGCACCTCTTCCAGAAAGCCCTCCCTCCCTGGCGGGGTTAGGGGCTTCCTGGGCACACACTGCCCTAAGCCCCTCTGACCTCCCCTCATCACCGTGGCTGACACCACCTGGGGGTGATAGGAGTGGAGTGAGGTGTGTATGTGATTGTCTCTGCTATCAGACTGGGAGCTTTTGGAGGATCGGGTCTGGTCAGACATCTCTGTTTCTGATGAATCACCAAATACCAACACTTGGCCTAGCACTTTACCATTTCCCTCTGAGGTAATGATTATGATGACTGATGTCCACCAAAGGCTTACTACATGAGACACAGGTTAAGTGTAGAACACAGACTATCTCATTTCATGCTCGCTTTTAACCACCTCTCTGAGCCTCAGTTTCCTCATCAGTAAAATGGAAATACTGCCTGCTTCAAAGGGTGGTTGTGAGGATTAAGAATTCCTGTATCTAAAATGCTCCCGTAGTTCCTGGCAGGTGACAGAGTGCTGAGCGGCACTCCGGCGGTGATGGCAGCAAGGCAGAGGCTGGCATTCTCCCGCTGTAGATGAAACTGAATCTCAACACCATAAGCAGCCAAGCTGCCTTCGGAGCTGGAGCGGTCCCCACACAGCAGTGGCAATGATGCTGGAGTCACTCACCTGATGAGTCAGAGCCCCAGAGTGGTCCACCCTTCAGGAGGGCTCCACCCAGGCAGCTCCCAGCCCCCAGGAGCTCTGGCTCAGCCCCAACCCTGGGGAGCCTAGGAGTCACCATTATTTCTGCCTCCCAACCCAGGTGACTCTGCTCATGTCACCTGCCCATTTCCACCTCAGGCTGATAGCCAAGCTGCGGGACCCGGATATATGCTGAGTCCTGGGTTCCTTCCTCCCCTGCTGGGGGAGTTTCCTGGTGCTTTGTGCCTGGAAGTTGCCAAGCCTGTTTCCTCTCTCATTTTCTCCCCTACCTGCAAGAACAAACCACCGGGCTCACCACACCTGATGGCCCTGAGAACCTCCATGGACTGCTTTTACCTGTACCATCTGTCAGCTTAAGAAGGCTCTCAGTAAGCATCTGTTCAGTGAAACCTCCTCAGGATGCTCCAAAAAGCTCCACAGAGGCTTTATCTCTCATCCCACAGTGGCTTTGACCAAGTATGACTTGGACTCAGGTCTTGACTCCTTATCCTATCGGAAAAGTGTGTGGAAAAGGGGATGGGTTATGGAAATGGGAGTGTGAGCATGTGAAAAGCAGTACCATTACTGTAGAAACAGCTTAAGTTGTGAAGCCTCCTCTGCCTCTACCTCTCTGACCCTGTCTACCCATTTGTAAGTCTGGGATAATGGTGCCCGCCTCTCAGGGATGCTGTGAGGCTTTACTGGGCATTATTGAGGTGATGCGTCAGCCGCTTTCTTCTTCTCCCTCTTCCCTCTTCTAAGTCCCCTCCTCTAGGCCTTTCCCTGACATGAAGCAGCCCCCAACTAGCTCTCTCTACCAGCCCAGAACTAGTTGGTTGGACTCCAGAGACCCTCCCCCGCTCCCCCGCCCCCCTGCCCCTAACCCAGCGGGGCTGGTGACTATATAGCAGGTTTTCTTAAATCGAGTGAGCCCCACCCAGCATATTGCAGGCTTGAGCAGGTTAATAATTCACAGTCAACAGGCCCATCAACAAAGGGCCCTTAAACAGGGCTGTGACAATCACAGTTCTAAAATATTCCTTGGCAGGGGCTCCTAAGGAAGACCTAGGCCTACATGTTGGGCCAGCCTCCTCCCTCCTCATGAACTCTGACCCCCACTAGCTGTGTAACATTGGGTAAGTTACTGCCTCACTCTGGCCCTTAGGTTCCTCTTCTCCCCATACAGAGGGGAGAGAAGGGTGGGCCAGGAGCCCAAGGCCCTTCCTTGCTCTGATGTTCTTAGTTCTGGGGTCTGAGCTCTTCTACCAAAGTCTGGTCTCCCAGAGCAGCTGAAAGTGGATCTGAGGAAGGAGCCCCCATCAGGCACAAAGGACCAGGAACATTCTTGATTGAAAAAAAGAGGCAGAGCTCT